TACTGTCCATATTGACAAGGCTCAATTTTACTTGTGCAATGCTTTCGGAATGCAGGTTGTGGATGAGCAAAACCTTGTCCACGGTCAGAAATTACAGTCATATCTGAAGTCCCTGTACAAAATTAGAAGATAACGAAACCATGTCCGTGCATAACGTTTTGAATGGATATTAATGTACTTTTGATGTTGGTACTCAAGGTCATATAAATACAATGTGTCTAAAAAAAATAAAAGGTCACTACATAAACGAGTTCTTAAATTGTGTTGAACTGTATCTTTCGAACCTTTGATTGACATGCATTCAATTTTAGTATGCTGCTGATGAAAACTTATTTGTTATCATTGTTTTAACATGTTCAAACATCATTAAAAGTTTATAACTACAACCCTATCACAAAGTTAACTCTTCTTTGTTTTTATGTCAGGTGAGGATGCCAAGTTTAAACTGAATGGTCCTTACTGTCCTTAACATGTTTAAAAAAAATCAGACAAATGTGTTAAATTAATAATAGAAAGGTTATACACACTCAAACTGCATATTTTATTTCTGAACAGTTAAACTATCATGCAATCTGTGTATCAAAGAAGTAGATCCGCATTCTGAACCATTACAATCAGTGTATCAAATTTATAAGAACATCTGCAATGGGTAAACAGCACATTCATTTTTTCACTCAGAAAATTGCTAAACTGCCTTTAATCATTTATAAGTACATTGCTGTTATAACAATTATGTAAGACAGTCCGTACACTTGTACATTTTGTTTGAAGAACAACTTGTTACAAAACATGCATACAGAATTCTGCATTCTCCTGACAATAAAACGCATACATGGAGAAAATTTATTTATTCCATCTTTATTAATATCCGAATTCTTTGTGCAATCCTTTTAGTATTTAAAGAGAGACCATAAAATACCAACTAAACAGGAAAAAAATCCAATTAAAAAATCCACAAATAATTTTAAAGCAATAACATCAGTCACACGCTACTTAATCGATCAGGATATAGAGCAGTGAATTGCAGCATTGTATATATTTGAGTTCGAGAAGAGATTGTCCGTATAGGGAAGATAAACCCTTGCTTCATGAATTACTATGTTGGGATAAGGTGCCTTGGAGGATCCAGTAAGCATCCTCTGTCGACCAGTTACATTCACCTTCAGTACATCCACATGTACTCCTTGTCATAATTGGGTAAAATCCTTAGACAATTCTGTGTGAAAATAATGGCCTAACAATTTGAAAAACGTCAGTCAACATACGACTTAAAGAAAGATTGTATTTGCTAATAAGGTCATTGTATCGACCATAGAATTTGCCAAATGTTCACTTCAAACAGAGCTTTTAATATCCTTGTATCATCAACTTATTTGTCAATACCTCGCCTCGTTTTAGAAATTGTTTTTGCGTATCAAGTCAATTGAGAGACATAAACTCCACATGCAGGTGATACATGTAATGGTTTATTATTACATGAATAAGGAGAGTTGAAGATATAAAAGTTGAAGTCACGTTTATCCAAAAAAAAAAAAAGTTTTGTTGTTAGTTTGCCATCAACGACTTTCTCTAGTACAATATTCAAATACGAATCAGATGTGTCAGACTCTGTGGTGTCTGTTATTTCGAATTCAGGGGGATGTGTCGAATCAATAGATATGAAAAAAATAAATGTCATTAATTGCTAAAACGTCGTCGATATTTCTAAATGTCGAATTAAAAATCACAGCAAGAGATTTCTTTTTTCCATGTAGAAGTTGCTGAATAAATCTTGCTTTAAATGAATTTTAAAACAGGTCTGCTAATAACAGGGCACAATGGGTACCCATGGGAATTCCAACAGATTGATGGAAGACCTGATCTCCAAAAAAAACTACATATATATCAGGAAAAAAAAATATCAGAAATTCAAGTAGCTTTTAAATATCAACTTCCATTCCTCATTATAATTCAAAGATGATGCTTTTTGGCATCACAGGCAACTGCTTCTTCAAAAACAAGAGGCCCATGGGCCACAACGCTCACCTGAGTCACTTTGGCCCTGCTGTTTTTCATCAGATTTTCCCCTTGTAATACTTTGATTCCCTATTGTGGTCCCACCCTACCCCAGAATTTGAACAATTTAGAATCTACACTACCTCAAGAAGCTTACATATAAGTTTCAGCTTTACTGGCTCGGTGTTTCTTGAAAAGATATTAAAAGATTTTTCTTTCATGTTTCAGTGTAAAATTTTGATCCCTATTAAGGCCCCACCCTAATCTCAGAGGCCATGATTTGAACAATACCTCGGAAAGCTTCTACATAAGATTCACCTTTACAGGCTGAGTGGTTCTTGAGAAGATTTTTTATGACACCACCCTATTTTTCTTTTTTACTTGATTATCTCCCCCTTGAAAGGGGAGCTTGGTCCTTCATTTTAATAATTTAAACTCACCTTCTCCCAAGGATGTTTTGTACCAACTTTGGTTAAAATTGGCCCTGTGGTTCTTGAGAAGAAGTTGAAAGTGTTTACAGATGGACGGGCGGACAACGATTGATCAGATAAGCTCACTTGAGCTTTCAGCTCAGGTGGGCTAAAACGGAACTAAAAAAATTTCATATCTTATGATTGGTCATCTACAAAATAACTTTAATTGTTAAAATTCATTCTGATTCAACACACAGGTACTCTGAAGATGTTGGAATTTCTCGTTGACAATATCTATCGTATGATGCAGTCTTTGGAGACAAGATCTTCAAAATAAAAAATCTTTTGGAATTAATTTCGATGGGCACTAATTATGTCATATCTCCCTATTTATGTAGTAATATTCCACAATCACCAGCATATGGTCAAGTTGATTCGATAATATTGACATAATTCTTTGAAAATTTAGTGTGTTAAATGCATTTTTTCCCTACACAAAAACGATTTTCTTACAAATTGTCGCTCCGAATTTTTTTTATAGTTTGAAATACCGAAAACTGGATCAAATACTAGATACTAAACAAAAATTGCAAGTTAAATTAAGGCACAAACTGCCAGAACAATGGTATACACTAGACAAAATTGCTAACGCACCACTTATTATTCTTATTTGTGAATTGATCATTTTCCTGATCGGTACTAGTATATAAAATATGCCATCTTTTCCAAAACAGTTGGATTGACAAATGTCTTGGTGTCATGTCAAGACCCTTAAAGGACCTTCTTGTCCGAAAACCAATTTCCCGACGTGCACTGCGCGTCGTTTTTGCCAAGATATGAAGATGGTGATTACCGAAGGTGGTCCGTGAGGTTGCGAGGGGAGCAGTCTCCCACTTAAAAATCAAATGATATACCCTGATTGACTACCATATCGCTTAGTAGTCATCCAGTACCTTGGTGTCCCTACCAAATCCACCCAGCTTTCGGTTGCCCCAATTTTGTGGAACAATCTTGATGTTATTGTGTAGTGCTCACTTAATGCCGTCGATATCTATTGTAAACATTTTTATGATCGTTAATTCATTTTCAACAATTTTTCACCAGAGAAATTCATAATCATTTAATTCTTTCAATTTTTCACAAATTTCTTCAAAGGAACCCCCCTGCAGACACCATACTGGCTGCCTTAGCACGCTCTTCTAGAGTCAAACGCCGCATACAATGTAACTTTTTTCTGATTTTTTAATTAGTACAAACATAAAGAACACAACTACAACGAAATAATTAAAAATTTATTCCACCAAAAAAGTATGGATATGATTTTAATTTTTTCTATGAAGTGGTTACGCTTCAGTAAACATTGTTGTTATTTATCAGTTAAAGCATTTAAATGTCTCATTTTTTATTAAAGCAACATAATTATATATCAAAAACATCATAAACAAGTTTTGAAAAGAAAAATGTTAATTTATTTAGGTGGTGCGTTAGCAATTTTGTCTAGTGTATATTGTTTTAAAATGCTTATATTAAGCTTCATTCGATATAAATTATGGAAAGCAAATATAATACTAGTATACACTACAGCTCTGTTTTTTGCTCCATAGACGATGAGTTCCGGTTATCATTGTGTCTGACTTCAGTGGGCGGAAACTATGGAAATTAATATGGAATGTCTCGTGTATTTCAAATCTACTAGATAGCATTTTAAATTCATATTTACATTTTTATTTTACATATATAAATGTAAATATAAGGAATCACTGTCTAATATGTTAGGTATGCTTTGCCCATTAGGCCTATGCGTTTCCAACCTTGTCGTTAATGACCTGGCATACCCATCAAACTAGAAGAAGATTCCTTATTTCGAGAGCATGTACTGGGTGCGGTCAATTTTTAAACAGAGTCAGGATACTGACAAATAAGTTGATGTTAATTTAAAAACTTTTTAAAAAATTATTTTGTTTTAAAGTCAGAATTTCGTAAATTCTATGGTCGTTATAAAGTCCTTGTTTGCAAATACAGCAAATCTTTGGATCGTATTTTGATTCACATTTTCCCACAGCAGCAATTGTTTATAAACGATCAAGTGTGACTACCGATTATACCGTTTACCTGATTAATATAGAGGTCTTACGGCAGGTATGACTTGTCGACAGGGGATGCTTACTCCTCCTAGGGATCCCACCTCTGGTGTTTTTAGAGATCAGTGATTTTACCCTGTTCACGATTCGCGTATTCTTCTCTAGATTTATGAGATGGATCATCGTTATTTGCGTACATTAACTTTCAATTACTAGTAAATGAAGCAATGTGAAACCTGTTTGTATGTTTTGCAATCTCGTTCCCTATTGTTTTCTTCCATTCTTTCTTCGGACATATAACATTATCAACACATCACTCTCTTTATCTCTAGAAATATCACGAACACAGGTATTTATCATTTTTATAACCACCTGCACAAAACCTGACTAAATACCTTAGGTCACCATGGATAAGTTCCGATTTATCTTTTTGTTAGGCGATCATAAAAATCACTTCAAAAATTATGCATCTTGCATTTTCATTGGTTTTATTTGTCCTATTTAGAATTTTTGGCAAAGCTCTTATGGACAACCCTGTAAATAACAATTCACAAAGTCCAACAACCGATTCTTCTGATAAAATGGTTTTAAACAACTTGTTGGCGAGAGAGATCCTAAAAAGACAGGCTTTGGAGACCAAAGTTGCCACATTAGAGAGACAAATTCAGGCGCTGGTAAGCGACGTCGCCGCCAGTAAGACTAAGTATACTGCATTAGAACACACCGTACAGAAAAATTCGCTCCGTCAGACCAACATGGCGACTTCCCTGCAGACCATTACCAAGCGAGTGGATTCCGAGTATATCAACATCAGACAGAGTCTTGATCACTTGTCTGGCATTATCAACGATAATAGGGATCGCGGTGAGTACATGCAAATATGTATCATTTTAAGACGAAAGAATTTATTTTATTTGCTGATGAAAACATTTATTTTATTCGCTATCTCCACTTTTTATATGAACTATACTGAATATTTATTCAAATTAAATTCATGCTAATTTGTGCTATGACTAATTGGATTTTTTAAAACCCATTTTAACAACAAAAACCAAATTAGGCAAATTGTGCAAATTCAAAATTACAACTAGTATATCTAAACACGAAGCTTCTTTAAGCACCTTTCACATATTCAATGTTCACTGCACGACCAGTGTTTTGTGCGCCAGTAATGACATTTCGTACCAGTGTGTGAAAAATGTTGAGTTTCTCTTTCTAGTTTTGTTTAATATATCTGCCATCTCAATAACCCATCTAATTTGAAGTAAATAAAGCAAAACCAATAACACATACTTTCCTTGGAATACCCTTCATCGTTTTCATCTTTAATTATTTCAAATTTGCCTTTTTTTTGCTTTTACATATGTTCAAATCCTGAGAAAAGGATTAGCTTCAAATGATGTAACTCATTTTCATTTTCAGTATCTCCTTCCCCTGTTGCTTTCCTTGCCAGAGTTACTTCGACTACCCCTTCACATAGTGGACCCATTGTCTCCTTTCAGATGGAAGATCTTAACCTTGGCAATGCGTATTCATCCGCTTCAGGAATATTCAAAGCTCCCGTGACAGGGGTGTACAACTTTCAAACCACTATTCACATTCAGAGAGATAGGTTTGAAGGATACATCTCTCTAAATGGTATCCCCCAGACCTACCTAACATTGACAGGAAGTGATCATGAGGCTTTTGGGTCGGTCTCTGTTACACTGCGGATTAATAATGGTGACAGGGTCTGGTTTGAAAGGACAGACAAATCAAATTCTGTCATCATTTCAAGAAAAAGTCTTTTCTCTGGATTTTTAGTGCAAGCATATTAAATATATATTTTCTTGCAAATAAATACTGAATTAATTTTCTTTCTTTAATTATATTTCATGCAACCACAGGTATACAGTTGTTTTCCCCAAGAACCAGCTGTCGGCCAAATTGACCTCTTCAATTGATAAAAATGCTGCTTAGAAATCAAAAATTTAAAAAAAAGTTGTTGTAAATTCCACAGAGATTTAGTTCAAAAACATCAACCTTTCGCCTGTTACAATTAATCTCTAACCTTTAACTTTGAAATAAAGGGAACCACTGGGCATATTTCACCTCAAATATCAAATTTAAAGATTTACATTAAATAAATCTATTACATTTTCAGAAAGAATATATTCTACTGTGGTTTGCAATTACTTCTAGACCTTGTATTGTAAAAGAGTAAGTATGCTGAAACCAGTCCTTTCTGAAACAATTTTCTTAAATTATCAATTAGTAAAAATATAAATGAGGACAATTGTAATATCAATTGTTAATAATGAAATTGGCTAATAAATATTTACAAATTTAATAGACTAAGTTATAAATTATCATCAATCTCCTGCTTCTTCAAGGTCATCTTCAAGGTCAAGGTCATCCATGTCCTGGAAAAGTGATTCATCCACTTCTACTCCATCCTCCTCTGTAAGAGCCAATTAATGAAATTACATTCAAAGAAACAAGTATTTCAATGATTTATTTAAACAGGAAGTTAAAAATACTTCTTTCCTTGGCTCAACTTTTCTCTAGGGCATTACAAATAAGGAAATAATAGTGAAAATATTTTTTTCTAAAAGGATATTACAGTAAAACTCATTTGAAAACTACCATGATAGTATCACCTTTTCTAATTCTGTTGTCAAAGGAAAAGTCTGCAATAATGAGTTGCACAAAAAATTTTTTGAGCAATGAAGATTGTACACACAAACCTGATTCTAGAAGCTGCAAGTCTGAATCTATCATGGATGAATCTCTCAAGAACATTTCTTTTCCTGTTAATAAAATAAAATGAGTTGTTTTACAGATGCACTGTATCAAGAAGCAAAATTCCCTCCATTCATCATACTATAAACAAGAGGCCCATGGGCCACATTGCTCACCTGAGTAACTTTGGCCATGCTATTCTTTACCAGATTTCCCCCCCTTTTAATATACCTATTGTGGCCCCGCCCTACCCCCGGGGGTCATGATTTAAACAATTTAGAATCTACACTACCTCAGGATGCTTCCAAATATGTCTCAGCTTTATTGGTCCAGTGGTTCTTGAAAACAAGATTTTTAAAGATTTTTCTTATATATTTCAATGTAAAACTTGGATTCCCTATTGTGTCCCGCCCTACCCCCGGGGGTCAAGATTTGAACAATTTATAATCTACACTACCCCAGGATGCTTCCATATAAGTTTCAGCTTTTCTGGCCCAGTGGTTCTTGAGAAGAAGATTTGTAAAGATTTTTCTTATATATTTCAATGTAAAACTTGGATTCCCTACTGTAGCCCCGCCCTACCCCCGGGGGTCATGATTTGAACAGTTTATAATCTCGCTACCCCAGGATGCTTCCATATAAGTTTCAGCTTTTCTGGTCCAGTGGTTCTTGAGAAGAAGATTTTTTAAGATTTTTCTTATATATTTCAATGTAAAACTTGGATTCCCTATTGTGGCCCCGCCCTACCCCCCAGGGTCATGATTTGAACAATTTAGAATCTACACTACCCCAGGGTGCTTCAATATAAGATTCAGCTTTTCTGGCCCAGTGGTTCTTGAGAAGAAGATTTGTAAAGATTTTTCTTATATATTTCAATGTAAAACTTGGATTCCCTATTGTGGTCCCGCCCTACCCCCGGGGGTCATGATTTGAACAATTTAGATTCTACACTACCCTAGGATGCTTCAATATAAGTTTCAGCTTTTCTGGCCTAGTGCTTCTTAAGAAGAAGATTTTTTAAGATTTTTCCTATATATTTCAATGTAAAACTTGGATTCCCTATTGTGGCCCCGCCCTACCCCCGGGGGTCATGATTTGAACAATTTAGAATCTACACTACCCCAGGATGTTTCCATATAAGTTTCAGTATTTCTGGCCCAGTGGTTCTAAAGAAGAAGATTTTTTAAGATTTTTCCTATATATTTCAATGTAAAACTTGGATTCCCTATTGTGGCCCCGCCCTACCCCCGGGGGTCATGATTTGAACAATTTAGATTCTACACTACCCCAGGATGCTTCCATATAAGTTTCAGCTTTTCTGGCCCAGTGGTTCTTGAGGAGAAGATTTGTAAAGATTTTTCTTATGTATTTCAATGTAAAACCTGGATTCCCTATTGTGGCCCCGCCCTACCCCCGGGGGTCATGATTTTAACAATTTAGAATGTACACTATCCCAGGATGCTTCCACATAAGTTTCAGCTTTTCTGGCCAAGTGGTTCTTGAGAAGAAGATTTTTTAATGACCCCACCCTATTTTTGTCTTTTCTTGATTATCTCCCCTTGTAAGGGGACTTGGCCCTTTATTTTAGCAATTTACACTCCCTCTCACCCAAGGATACTTTGTACCAAGTTTGGTTAAAATTGGCCCAGTGGTTCTTGAGAAGAAGTTGAAAATGTGAAAAGTTTACAGACGGACGGACAGACGGACGGACGACGGACAACGGGTGATCAGAAAAGCTCACTTGAGCTTTCAGCTCAGGTGAGCTAAAAATATTATACTACATGTATCAGCATATGATTTTGCTCAAATCAAAAAAAAGAAATTAGGCATTAAATATCAGTACACATTTAGGATCTGAAGTCATTTTTGTAACTTGATTAAAATACCTGTTAAACCCTTTGATTTTTCTTTCTGAATTTTTTCTTTTTTCAGTTCTGCCATTTCTGCATCAAATTTTGCCTTCCAGGCTAAAAATGTTTCCACAGTGACTTTTGTTCCTTCAAAACGTTTCTGAAACATTAAATTTATAAATTAGTCTGTAAATCAATTGAGATTTTTAAGCAAATAAATCAACTGATGCCTTATAAGTACCTTTACTACCACGTAACCATCAAATTCTTGGTACTGTGCAAAAATACTGCACGCTCAACCTTCAATTTTTTGGAAAAGATGTCAACAGTGAATTATTATGTATAGATATGCATATCAGCATCTTCATATTTTTGTACCTTTGGGGCAGTTGACAGTGTAAATCATGAACAAATCAAATCAAAATTCCTGCTCAGTCTTCCATTCATAGTAACAAGTTACCTACTCAAATTCTTTCAACTGTTCACAGAAATGAGAAATACCTGACCCATCTCCTAAGCTATAAATAGTAACACTGTATACCTGTTCTGCCTCCTCTAATTCCCCTTGTTTCCTCTCAGCTATAAATAGTAACACTGTATACCTGTTCTGCTTCCTCTAATTCCCTCTGTTTCCTCTCGGCTTCCTCTTCTTTCCTCCTCTTGGAGTCCTCAACATAAGTTGTCAGCTTTTCCTGCACTGCTGATACAATTGTAAACACTGTTACCATTCCCAGGTTCTCTTCTATCTAAAATAGTTTTAATTTAAGAAATAACATTTAAAATAATTAACAACCTCTATTTGCCATACCTATTCATTAATTAAACTATCCCAGTAGTATACTTAAGGTATCCGACCCATTAAAGGACCTAATTTTCTAACCTTAAATATCCATCCTGTATTAAATACTTGGAAATTAATTCAAAGCATTTTAGAGTAGAAAAGGATTTACCAGGAGAAATTTTCAAAAATATAATTACCTAGGCAGTAATTAATTAATGAAGAATGCTTGAGGTCTATGGGGACAAGCAAATTTTCGAAAATAAAAATTTAAATACTAAGAATATAAAAAAAAAATGCTGTGGTGGAAAGATGTGTTTAATTATTAGGAATAGAAAAACAATTGAAAACTAATTTTTCACCAGATGCATTTTTTTTAGAATTGATTTTTATTGATTAAAAAGCAAAGGGGAATAACTCTTTAAGTACAGGACAAGGTCATTTCGCTCTTACATACTGATACTAAAACATGAAGATTATGTCTACATATACTGAGTATTCAGCCAATATATGTATATATCTGTTATGCATTCAGATTCATTGCATCTGAGACTATTATGGATAGGATACCTTAATCAATTAAAAAAACCCACAAAAACAAAAACAAAACAAAACAATTAAAGAAACTATCCTTATGATATGTCTGTTCAAATATTTAACATCCTTTTGATCTATTTGTTCATTGAAAAAAATTAGCCTGGTGATATACTTATTCATTTATAAAGCTATTGCAGGATACACTGAATCGCTGAAGAAACTATCGTGGAGATAGCTGTTCATAAATAAACTATCCTGGTGATATTGCTGTTTATAGATAGACTATCCTGCTTGTGTACCTTTTCACTGATATAACTATCCTGCTGATATTATACAACTATTTAATAGCTATGAAGACAATAGCAAGATTATTGTCCCCCAAGACAGCAACAATTTCCCGAGGCAGTTGAAGGAAATAGTTGCTATCAAGGGGGACAATAGCAAAATAGGTTATATTATACAGAAGCAGACTTTACTTGTGTCACATCATAATCCAGATATCACCAGACTTTTCTTAGGGAAATGGAATGCTGCAGATGAATAGTTCAGTATTTATTTCAATTTAGGCAATTACATCCTGTAGTACAAAAACTATTCCTTTAGAAAACATAGCAGGTTTATTTGTCATAACTTTATAAAGAAAAAATTCACAGAGGTATAATAAATACATATATGTTCATTGATATGACTATCCTGGTGTATACCTGTTCACTGATATGACTATCCTGGTGGTATACCTGTTCATTGATATATCCTGGTGGTATACCTGTACATTGATATGACTATCCTGGTGTATACCTGATATGACTATCCTGGTGGTATACCTGTTCATTGATAAGACTATCCTGGTGTATACCTGTTCATTGATATGACTATCCTGGTGGTATACCTGTTCATTGATATGACTATCCTGGTGGTATACCTGTTCATTGATAGGACTATCCTGCTGATATATATTCCTGTTCATTGATTATACCTGTTCATTGATAAGGCTGGTTATCTCCTCTAACGTGTCATCCTCCAGATTTTCACTGTCTGTGATTTCAAACACTAGGGGTTCCTCGGGGTACTTTTCCACATAAGAAAACTGAACTACACAAGAAGCTATAGAACAAAATTTAAAATTGATGTTTTATATTTTGGTGGTGTCTATACGTGTACCATATTTACTATAATAGAAAATGTAGTATTTTTAAAAAGAATATAAGTACAGATAAACCAAAAAATACCATCAAATCAAAAATTGATAATTACACTGTATACAGAATATGTACATGTACTTTTATATAAGTTACGAAGTGCTATTAAAGTCAGGCTAAATAAGTAAGAGTAGTAGAATTCAGAAGAATTTTGAATCAATTCTATTTTTTTTTTTAGTACTGTACATTGACATACGAGTACTTTGTCGTACTACTTAGAATATTACATGGAAAATTTGAATCACGAGCCAGTTTACAAGAGACTCCATTCACTGACCGATAACAGTGAAGAATTTCACAAATATATAAATGTTTTTACCTGGTTCTGTTTCTTCTGTTGATTGATCAGACTCTTGTGAAGAAATTTTGATGGTAAATACATGGTATGGTTCTGTTGTCAGCACTGTAAATAAATTTTCTTTAACAATAATTTGACTGTCTATAAAATAAAGTTGTTACTAGATGTGTCGTAATGCCATGAATACCCCTGCAGGCAGCCAAAATTTTGAATTGCAAACCGTAAATTGCACACTTGTAGCCGAGATAATGATTGGAAATTGTGAATTTTTAAATCTTTTCCAAGTTCAAGAAAGATAACTGTCAAAAATCATCAGACCAGGACCAAATTCAAACTTGACCTGTATTCTCTGGTAAAATACCTGCATATTCAATTTTAACCTTATAATACATCCCTACAATAGTTAGAAAGTGGACACTGAAAATTTCTTGTTTTTTCTAAGTTCAAGAGGGATAACTCTGTCAAAAATCATTGAACCATGACTAAATTCAAACTTGATATCTGTATTCTCTGGTAAAATACCTGCATATGCAATTTCAACCTTATACATACATCCCCACAGGAGTAACAGAGCGGCAACTGAAAATTTCTTATTTTTTTCTAAGTTCAAGAGGGATAACTCTGTCAAAAATCATCAGACCACAACCAAATTCAAACTTACCTGTATTCTCTGGTAAAATACCTGCATATGCAATTTTAACCTTATAATACATCCCTACAATAGTAAGGGAGCGGAAACTGAAAATTTCTTATTTTTTCTAATTTCAAGAGGGATAACTGTCAAAAATCATCAGACCACAACCAAATTCAAACTTGACCGGTATTTTCTGGAAAAATACCTGCATATGCAATTTCAACCTTATACATACATCCCTACAAATGTTAGAGAGCAGAAACTGAAAATGGCTTATTTTTTCCAAGTTCAAGAGGGATAACTCTATTAAAAATCATCTGACCACGACCAAATTCCAACTTGACCTGCGTATTCCAATGACAGATCCATATATTCATATATCAAATTGGAGTTGAATGTGTACAGCTGTTGCCAAGATAATGAATGGAGAGTCAATGATGATAGACTGATGGAACAGGATATTGAGGGTAACACGCTCTATATGCCCCTGGCCATTTTATGGTGGGGGCATAAAAAAGTCAGTTGTATTCTCATTCAATCCTGAGTGACATAAGTTGGATTTAGGAAATATTTTAAAATTGGATTTAACAACGACGCACAAAATAGCAGCAGAACTATAGCTCTCTGGGAAATGAAATTCAGACAGCTAGATACAGATCCATCTACGCAGCTATATTAAGGCTGTCCGAAGGCTTAATATGCATGAAATTTATACTATTTTATTTTGGGCTATGTTTTGATTTCAATTTGTAATCTATGTATACATACACAGTTAAGTTGTAAAGAGAGTTGAATAAGGTATTATAAAAAAGCATTTTTGTGATGTCACATGACTGTGTTGATCACGTGACGGACACTTATAAATTTTCTAAAATGTTGCACAAAGATCGCATCGGCACAAGTGAAAAAGAAAATTATTGTAAATGGCTTTTTACATAAATCAATTAAACGTATTCTTGGGTATATATAAAGTGCTGGGGGCAAGTCTGAATTTTATTTCTAAGAAAATATTTCACGAGAAATTCAACTTACCCACATACAAGGGGTCATTTTCCACTCTTCATCCCAATTTACACAAAATGGGATAAATTACATACAATCCCCCAGCAAAATTCAGTTAGAGGACATATTTCTCTAGTAGATTCACACAGAATATCTTCAATTTATCCTTATATTATTCACTTGTGCCAGTCTAATATATATAAGATTTAAAAATTCTAACTCTGTCTACGGACGTGTAAGGGGGAGCATTTCACATTATTTTTTTGTAATTGTTTGAATATGTACATGTTTGACAAGAAAATGCAATAAAGATATTATACTGCAAATATTCACCATCATAACAGCTTTAAAACAACAATCCAGACATATGAATTAAACATTAACGTAAAAAAATTCTACATGTGATGTGAAAGGAATGTAAAAGTTATGACATTTCCCCGTCATGTCTCTCAAATTTGCAGTGACATAACATCATATGCCATTATGACGTCATATCTAGGTAGTTCAGAGAAGTTACTACGGCTGGTACACTGTGACATTCTTCGGACAGCCTTATCCTAGCGGCGTATTGGGAAAATCTTCAATTTACAGTGAAACACTTTTGTTGTAAGCTTTGGATAATATTTCTTGCATTATATGCATTACTCCACTTAAAGCATGGTATTTATTGATTTAAAAACATCAGGGACTTATATACTAACGGGATAGGCAACTCCTTCAGCGCCATGTTTATTTACCCAAAACAGCACACACAACACTGCAAGTTTTTCAAACTACGTTTTTCCCCAGTAAAAAAGCTTGTTTTCTGATCAATGTAATCTGTTCTTTTTGTGTATTGGACGGAATATTTAATAAATTTTAAAGCACTTATTATAAAATAATTTAGATTTTAAGTAAACAATCACCAATATCGGAGATTTTTCGGAAATACGACCGATCAGGGGCACACACTGATTTTTCAATAAACGTAATTACTACTAAGCTAAGGAAAAAAAAACAGTGCTAATAACAAATCTTGAATAATTTTGTGATAGATAAATTAAGATTTTATTCTGATATATTTGATAGCAAAAGAGATTTATTTAATTAAAATTGACTTACAAAGTCCCGCAACTTACGAGATATCGCGAGACTTATGAGAGTTGCTTATCCCGTTAGTATATAGGTCCCTGAAAACATATACTCTACTGCTACTCTGTTACTTTAATTACCTTTTGACCAGGGTTGGCCGGGCAATACCAATGGTGGTAATTATCAGTTGTAAGTCCCGGTATTTTTTATCCTGATAAATACATGTACTGCAGATTTTCTCTAATGTGGAAATACTGGGAATTACAACTAATTTAGTTTTTTTTTTATTTAACTCAATAAAATAAAAATAAAAAAATCAACAACTTGATTTTGGTTGGATTTAAACCTTTAAAAGGTAAGAAACAAAAGTTTTTTAGTGATAGGGAGTTAAAAGGATATCCAAAGAGAAAAACTGAAGCACGCAGGGAATTCATTTCAGCCTGTATTGATTAAAACAAGCGGTCAAACTCCGGGCAAGATTTCCCGAGACACTTTGTGTGGCACTGGTCTGAGATTTGGAAGAGACCTCTGTCCAAAAAATCTAAGTCTTGACGAATCTAGCTGAGATTAATGGAACTGTACAGCTGTAGCTCTTTGCTATGTCTTTCTGAATCTTATTTCCCATAGAGCTACAGCTCTGCAGTTATGCTCAATATAGATATGCAAGACTATCTGACTATAGGTAATATGAACCGGTTACAGATGCTGCAAGAATGATGAAGAACTATGGGTGACTGCTAGCAGTAGATGGAATATCTTACCACTAAAATGATTGTGTCCTACAGGTGTGGATATACTACATTACAGATGTATTGCACGTATATTAACCTAGGTGATGACCTGTCTCGAGAGGCCGATAGTTTATTGTAAGAAGGCTAGCAGAACTCATTTAAGTAAACGTAAAATATCGAGAAATACACGTACACAGTACAACACACACTTGATTTTGCATGAAACAAAACTATCAATGTTAATTTTTCGTTACCCTCGATTTCTTCTGGATATATCGACTCCAAAGCCTCTATTTCGTTGTTTTGTTCTTCTTTAAAATCTGTCATTTTCCTTCGAAGTTCAGATCTTCATCTTGCACATGTGGTGTTATGTTTCTTCCATCAGGACAAGTAACGCTCATTTTCATTGGTTGTAGGGAAATCGATTTTTGAATCACGAACGCGATTTAATTTTGTAAGAGGATCTTGAACTCGAGCAGATATAAAAAAAAAAACCCAAAACAAAAACAAACAAACCAAAACACGCAATAACGTGTAGTTTATGTAAGTGTATATTGATGGATGTTGATAAAACATTCATGTCACAAGTCCCACATTTCTTATGTTGCCACACCTGTGACTAAGTAGACACTATATATCTGCAAATCAATTGGACTAAACTAGAAGTACTAGCTGTGAGCAAGCTCACAAAATTATACCCCTCACCCTCACTGCATTTTTTTTAAATTGCCCACAAACAGTTTTCTGTACATGATAAACTTGCCAAATTGACCTTGATTAGAAGAGTGATGCATCTTCTGGTCATAGTAATCTTTGAGTGAAAATTGACATCCTATATGTTTTTCCTTAAGAAAATTATGATCGATTTGAAATGAATTTGACATTTTTTTTTTTTTGCCAGTTACCTTGAACTTGCCACAATGACCTTGGGTCATGGCTCTGACATACCTTCAGCTCACCGTAATAGTAATCTTTCAATTTCAATTATTATCCATTAGAGAGTAAGGAACTGGACACATTAAAAAAATCTATCAGAGCAGGAATGAGTCAAGGTCATGACATACCTTCAGGACATAAGTGATATCAGAGTGAAAAAGAAGTATGTACTTCTAAGGTTTTTCCTTTAGAAGGTTATAAACCAGACATGCATGAATTTAACTTTTTTCTACCAGCAACTTAGAACTTGACAAAATGACCTTGGGTCAGATAATGATACAACCTTAAGTTATAAGCAATCTTTGTATGAAGTATCAATTAGCCTCCATTTGAGAGATATAGACTGGAAAGGGATAAAACACTTTTCTGCCAGTGACCTTGAACTTGCTTAAATAACCTTGGGTTAAGGTCAATACATCCCCTCAGTTTATATGCAATATTTCTGGTAAGTACGAGTCTCTAGGCAGCGTTTTCCATTCCAATTAAGATATGGTCAGGACAGGAATTCAACCTTGAACTTGATCAAATGATCTTGATTCAAGGTCATGACACACCCTCAGGTCATGAACACTGATGTTAAGAAAATGATATAAAGTCAAATTTACATCAATTTTTTCATAAGGGTTGAATTCTATCCATAATGAAAAGCTCCAAAATTTGATAAATTATAGCAAATTATGCAAAATTGAAAGGTTTTAGACTTTCACAATTTTTGTACAAAGTATGCGTTTCCAATGATTTTTCATTGCAAAGTTACAGCCTAGACACAATTGCACAGAAAGACAGACTAGAAGAATTATATATAGCCCCCCCCCCCCCCCCTAAAAAAACCAAAAAACTAAGTTTGCAGGAGATCTAATGATTGTAGGGACTGATACTGCATAATTACGATTAATTGACCATGGATAGACACAAAATTCCCATGATGCATCAACTGAAAAGGTTAACAATATTAAGCTTTATTTTAGGCAAATTATTTTGTTAAAAAGACTAAGTCAGTATCTAGCTTTATAATGGACCAAAAATATAGGTCATCAAGACTTATTTATGGTCCAACAAACCTGAAGATGCATTATCTGACAAGGTTTATTGACCCTAGATCTCAAATTATTTTTTTTATTTATACTTAATTTTATTCACATGAAGTGAATGGGATTGAGCAGCAGGCATAGCCTATTTTACCCCTCTCCCTAAAAAGATCTCAAATTATCCAAGTTAAGTACTTTTTATAAATTTGAAAGTAAATAAACATAAAAATCAGAGATAAGGTCACAATTACGATCCTTTAAATATGTACAAAAAAGTATTTTATCACTTGTCACTCTCATAGCTGTTTCAAACTATCCATAAAATAACTGTTGACAGCTTGTGTGTTTAGCTAAAAATTATAAACAAAAGAGTTTCGATACTTCCATTATATACCATGTAGTTCAGCTACTTTTATACAAGAAATAAGCAAAAATATTGCAAAATATGTTGTATCAATAATCTCACAGTACACGGTATTTTGCAACCAATCATTCAATAAACAGTTTATACAAACAATCAACCCAAAAATAATAAAACATTAGATTTATTGGTCAGAAATAAACAAATTCCATCTATATTATGTCTCATTATTTCATCTGTCAATCATTCAACACAAGATTAATTCTATAAAAGTTGCCGTTGGCTTAAAACAACCTCTGTGTAACTGCAATCAAGAACGGCAAAAAGACTGAGTTATTTCCCTTTGTGCATGGTCCACTGAATTACACTTTAGTATTTGATGTTCATTTAGACTTGACTATAGAAACTCTACTTTGTCAGACTGGTGGAGATATTGGAGGTTTGTAGTATTGTCTGCATCGCTCTTGGAAAGCCTTAAAAAGATCATGAGTATATAATGAAAGAAAAACAAACATTAACTTTTGATCACCATCTTTTCACGTATTTTGGTTATTGCTCTATATAGTCTTTAATACATTAGTTGATTTATATGCGAGAATGAAATTTTCGTGAGCATATGGTCTCGTGTAATTATGCAAAAATAAAGTTCTTATTAATAAAAAGTGATGTACAGTATATAATAGTTCACTAACAGTAACAAAGGGTTAGGCATTTAACATCAAAGTGAAGACCCACTAACAAAGACATAATTTTTCTTTGAATTTATTTGCTGACTTTGCATTACAATGTACTTTCCCCAAGTGTTGAATTTTATCACATTTCTCAAAATTTATTTAATATTTGACAAAGAATGATTTATTGAATTTGCCACTAAGTCTATGTTTCTAAGGGTATTGTATATAATAATCATTGTTACCTTTAAACTTGTGTCTTTGACTACTTCTTCTACACATAGCTCTTGCTGCATTAATCTTAACTGAAAAAAGAAGATAAAATAGACAATACTTGTTATGGTCTTACCAAACAAAATACACCATAACCCCCAATAACAGTGAGTGTTAAACTAAATGATTTAACAAAGAATTTGACTGGTGTTTGGAGATGTCATAATAATGTACAAAAGATTTACCATAAATCAAAATACAGTCAAACCTCAAACCTCGTTATCTCGAACTCGATGGGACTAAGAAAAAACTTTGAGATAATTAAAAATTCGAGATATTGAGAGTAAAATACTTAAGAAATACGTGGTTGGGACTTCCAAATTACTTTGACAAATCCATGGTATTCGAGATATCCATGTTCGAGATACCGAAGTTCAACTGTACATGTACCACCATCACCACTATTCTTTTAGAGATGTGATAATTGTAATGTATTTTCCTTTTATTCATATACTCGTAACAAAAGGACATCATCTGTTCTCACAGTATCATCGTTAACGAGAAATAGAAGATGTAGATAAGAACTAATGCATGTGTTCACAACTTAGCTATACATTAGATAAGAACTAACGCATGTGTTCACAACTAAGCTATACATTAGATAAGAACTAATGCATGTGTTCTCAAATTAGCTATAAATATTTAATTTCACATTTATTTTGCTTTTAGAGTGTGTGGAAAGCAACAGCATTCAGAACACCATAGGGGGGCATGGGGGTGGGGTTGGGGTGGGGGCATGGGGGCGGGGTGGGATGGGGGTGGGCGGCGAAAATCAAAATTCATGCTCAAATTGAACAGAAACTGTTGCAATCAAGGCTCTTCCATTAAACATAACTTATCCAAAGTATAATACAGGGATTAGAAATATAAATCACATTTGAAGTCAAAGCAAGGAGTTAAAAAATGTAAATGTAAGTCAATTTTTTAGAAAGATGTAGTCTAATAACTGCAACGGTGTATGCAAAATGCGTTCGTTACTCATTGACAATTTGTTTGCACACACCGTTGCAGTTATGAGACTACATCTTTCAAAAAATAATGATTCAATGCTTTTAAAAGTATACCTTAGATAAGAATTAATGCATGTGTTCTCTAATTAGCTTTACCTTAGTTTGTTCTTTACGTAAATTCTTCGTTAGTTCATAGTCATCCATATTGTTTTCCCGTTCCTTTCGTAGTATTTCTACTTTTTTGGACAATAGAGCGACACAGGATTTAATTGCTGTCTCTCTTTTCTCATACTCCTTACTCAGCTGTAAAATATAGCAGATTCTATTATAATACATTTGAAAATAGTAAAAATTGATACTACAATTAAATAAACATAATGTACAAATAAACATGCAATAAATTATGTCTATTCTGGACACCAATGATTAAAAAAATTACTTAAAATCCAGAATGAATGTGAAAAGGAAAAAATATGTCATGATTTAGGAGTTACTTCCCTTACTTTGTTGGTTAAATTTTACATTGGGATCGTTGTTATTCCTTTTTTTAAGAGGGGATACTCTGTTTTGTGGTGTCTCTCTTTAATTAAGTTATCAATGACATAATAATAATTTATATGTCTGATATTATATAAAAAAAAGGATTTACTGACAAATAAAAACAATTTAACTGCCAAGTTTCTCATAAATCTATTTAGATACAGAGGGGGTAGTATTTTTTGATCTCAAGCTTCATTTGCAACTTAACGATAAAAATTCAGGTGCCTGTTCTAGGATGTATCTTTGATGCAAGTTTGGAAGAAACATTCATTTATTACATACTTAGTAATAAATACAGGTTTTTTGCATATGCGATATGCCTGATGTCACTATAGCCCTATCAGCTTTCAGGGCTGATATGGATCCTGCAGGGCTGATATGGATCTGCAGGACTGACACGGATTTACATGTATATCACACCCTTAGTAGATTAAACCTTTAAAAAACAGTACTTCTGATAATAACCCATTTTGTTGTTCACATTCTCTTCATTTTTAATTACTGTTCTTTGATTATTAACTTGTTTTTTCTCAAGTTGATGTGTGCTGTATTTTATTACTAAGTATGTTATAAACATAATAAAACATACCCTTTTCCACATCACATCCTGTATCAGCCCTTGAGCAATATCAGCCCTTGGGCCTTCGGCCCTCTGGTTCTCTGGCTGATATTGGTGTCTCGGGCTGATACAGGATCTGATATGGAAAAGGGCATGTATTTTTCTCTATGTATTATGAAGAACTGATACATTGTATTTTCTTTGGAAATAAACATCTTTACAAAATCTGGATCTTAGTCAATATACATCTTAGCAATGTAGATAAAAAACCCCAAAATAAATTCTCATTGGAAAAGTAAACATTTTCCTCCATGAGAATAGGCCTGTTATATCCCAGGTCTCAAACATACTCATCATCACAAGCCATTTTATTTCCACAAATTGTGGTTGTCCTTTGAATTTCTCTTGTTCTCGTAAATATTAATAACACACATTCAACCAATGGAATAATAATCTGACACATCAAGTCAGAAACTTTTTGTCCAATGAAAATGATCTGTTTATTTTGTATTTGGATGTAACCATAACCATGAGATGTAACTCAACTTCGGTTGAAATTTCCTCAACTAAATGAGTGACGCTATTCAGTGTATTCAGACATCTGCATTTGAAACCCTGTCTTTAAATGTTAAGCTTTGTAAATATTTTAGAATATAAGTAACTTGCCTCTGTTCTTCAGGATGTATCATATTTTTATTAATAAATCTGCCACACACAGCAACTATGAATTCATTATGAGCAATGCCATGTAAATGTACCCAAAAGTGCCACAGAGTGATTTCATTGGTCAAGATAAATCTGGTATCACTTGATTCAATGATGCAAGAACAAGAGAATTTTGTAGTGGACAGCCAAGGTTTTGTGAAAATAAAATGGACACAAATCCTGTGGCTTGTGATGATGAAAAATATGTTTTATACATGTATACCTCTTTATATAAGCTTTCACATTTGGTGGTCCTATCTGCAGGGAAGGATATTGTAGGCAGGGAGGAATTCAATGTGTTAATGATTCTATCATCAACCAATCTGTGCTTCTTCAGCTGTTCCTGAAAGTGTTTTAAATCATACTGGTCACATAAGTGTTTTAAATCATACTGGTCATATACATACATATAATTTGTTAATTTAATTAACAAAATTAAGCAAATACTTCAAAATTAAAACACACTTATCTAAAATATTTCTGTTCTCTGTAACCACGTACACTTTTTGGCATACATGGTCACCTCTATATTCATTAATGATAGTGTCAAGAAAAACAATAAATATATATTTCATAATAAGAAGGTAATGGCACATTATTCTGAATATAACTTTCATGGTTGCAATGGTAACACAGTGTAGCCACATAAAATTTGTTGCTAAGTTATGATTTATGTTGCTATCTTAGGGAAAAACATGGAAAATCAACACTGCCAAATATACTGGTTTTATTTTTATGAATGAGGACAGAAATTTAAAATGTAAACAATGCAACTGTGTCCAGGCTGACGCCCCTTTAAAGTTAAGAAAGGCCAAAAAAATAATATAGTCTTGTTTCCTGCTGAAAAAATAGGGTAGGTAGGTGGGAAAATTATTTTATTTTATTTTTTTATTTTTTCCGATGGCATTTTTTTTTTTATATGAAATAATAAAAGATCAAATTAAACATGTCCAAGGTCAATATTGTCTTTAAAATTAAATTTCATGTTTTTTGATGCACAACTCCATTGGTATTTTATGAAAGTCCATATTTAAAACAGAGAATTTCATGAAATGCTTGTTTTTGTGTTAACACAGAAACTGATTACAGTGTTTATTTGTGATTATCTAACACTAAACTATGTCTTATGCAACCAAAAATAAATAAATATGTATATCATCTGATTTCCAAGATATAATTAAGAATCTTTCACACAAATCAACCTTAGAGGTTACGAATATTTTTCTAAGGCTGTAGATGAATTAAAAATACATAATATTTTGAGTGAATATTTCTAAATGTAATAACCTCTAGAGGAAATTCGAGTCTTACAAAACAATAACGACAAAAATGAAACATCCTTACATTTCTTAAATTAGCAAGAATGATACTTTTACAACTTTAAAAATCCATAGTAGGAAGCATATGTGGATATAATGTAACACTACCTGAAATGCTAAGAAATCGTCACATAAATCGCATGGTAGGTCATTTTCATGCTTGGCACTGGAGGCAGCCATGTTTAATTGTGAATTCTCGGCATGAGGAGATCGAATGAAAGAAAGGACAATAATTTTTTTTTTATTTCATTACAACTGAGAAAAATATTTTTTGAATAAATTTACCCCAAACCAAATTTTTTTCTAGATCAAAAATATATGTAATTTTCCGGGAAATCAGCTGTTGGAAAACGCATGCTCGGTTCGTCTGAAGTAAAATGGTGGTTTCGTCTTAGAAAGGAAGAAAGAAGCCATATAAAGTTTCTAAAAACACTTGATTTATGAACCTAAATGCCTTACGATGTGAGTAGAAGTCATAAATGTACCCTGACATATCTTATAATAGTGACATTTCTGTATGATCGTGTGATTTGATGTTGTTGATAGTAAATGTGTCAGTCACAAGTCTGAATAACTGAAAAAACATCACATTAGTCATGACGTTCTTTGTTATCTCCGCCTTATTTTAACTTTTGTTGACATCATTTGAAAGACAAAAATTAGAATTGATCAGTAGAATGCTTTCATCCAGAGGTGCAAAACATTAATTGCAAAGAACAAGGTTCAAAGTTGAATTATTTAAGTAAATTAATTCCATATTTTAGATGTCATCTAATGCAGAAAGTCCAGCCAACAGGCTCAAGTCTTACAAAAACAAAGCACTAGACTCACAAGAACTCAGACGAAGGCGTGAAGAGGAGGGGATCCAGCTCAGGAAACAGAAAAGAGATGAACAGGTAAACACAGGTGAAAGTAGGTAAACACAGGTGAAAATATTGGATTAAACAAAAGATTGCCTTAGGCTGTTCATTGTAAACTCAAAACATGTACAAATTAAAAGGTGATAAAAATAAAACATTTCAGTGGTAAGTGATTTATTACTTTTGAACACATAATGAATTAAACAATTTGAGTAGAAACAAGTTAAGGGGCATTATAAGACACGCATTGCCGTTTTGTTTATCATTTTGGCATATTTGATTTTCTCATTTAAATTATTTAAAAATAATTTCAGTGTAAGGATTTGAACTAAATTGAAAATTCTTAACATTAATTGTAATCAAAAGTAAACCTACTAAATAACTATATTGTTTTTTTTATGAAGTTCCATGTGTGTAAAGAATGAAATAGTAGAAATTGACCTTATGAAAATTTGTAGAACTTTTATATAACAAATGAATGTGGTTACTCTAAATGTGTACAATACAGAACTGATTACTCAGCATTTAGTAATCTTTTTAAACAACATGAACAAGGTTTAGTACATTATTACAAATTTCCTCTTGTAGCTTTTTAAAAGGAGGAATGTTTCCATGCCAACTGGAGGTCCAGAGGATTTTGCTGGAGGAAATATCCATGACAGTACAGTTAGCTCAACCCCATACACTGTGAGTTCAGATCTCATGATTAAGCTTAAAGGACTTATCGCATGTTTCTAAATTATTTGAAATCAAAAGCGTAAAACGTTCCTTATAACCACAGTTTATAAATTTTGTGTTTTTGCTGCAGATAAACCGCGGTAATTAACCAATTATTGACTCAAATGAAAACCCCTGAATTAAAAATCTAAGTTTATTAGATAGCGATCACGTGACCCTGTGACGTCAAAGGCGACAATGGCTGATCAGCTCTATAGTTAATCTTACTAAAATATACGCGATACAACATGAATATTCTGCATTGTGGACGACCATTTCACTGATTTTATCGATATGAAATTGAATATCCAACCTTATATTTTAAAGTTGTCATCAAGAAAAAATCTGAAAAATCTGTTAACATATAGCAGCGACGATATCGAAAGAGACGCGGCGAAGACGAAGAAACTCGCCATCACAATACAATTTGATTTGTCATCTTATCACATGTATTAACTTCATTGATTTACAAATTTAATATTATATAACTGTTATTCTTCGTTTTTAGCATAATATTAATTTACTTATGTTTTGTAAAGGATGGCAGTCTTGAAAAATAATTTTCCGATCACGAAACATTGCCGTAATCGGAGCTGTACAGATTCTGAATGTTTCGAATAAAAAACGAAAATATCTCAAAAGCCTTATACCTTAGAACTAGTTAATGTTTCTATAGTAATTAAAAAGCACGCTAGGAATTAATTTTTTCAGCATTTTTCTTAATTAAGCTGCATTTGTCGTCGATAACTCCGTAAATCGTTTACATATTCTCATCTCTCTATCACTGAATTGTCGCATATGACGTCAGAGCAGTATTTCGCCGAAATCCGACTGAAATATGCATATTGCCGTATTTGAATTTCAACTTTCAATATCTCTTAAAATATGCTTTCAATAACGTTTATTGTATTCAGTATTTTAACAAACAAGGTTGTAGATAATATTTTTCATAAAATCACGATTTTTGAAAGATCATGCGATAAGTCCTTTAACTTTAAATAATTTATGAATCATACTTTCACATAAATTACCTGAATCTGATTCTTCAAGATACATTTGTGAAAAAAAAATACTATTACTCTCTGAATGATGAGACCATGCTCTCCAGCATGATAAAACATAGCAACAGTCAACATTGCTTGATGACTGGTGATATTCCAAAAAATGTTGACTGCTCAGAAATTATGTCTTTGTACAAAACATTCAGTATCATATAAAAATATTGCATGTAGTTAAGGGTAAAATTGAAAATTTTCACCTAGAGAAAACCATTGTCACTCAGGGGTAAGTTTTATGATCAATCCAACTTCCTGTTTAACCAAACAGGTTTTGTAGTCTTAAAAAGAAAATTTATCAGCTGCCCTTTGCTAATGAGGACTGCAATGTAAGACAATGGTCATACTTTATTGCATTGAAATATGGGACTAAGGAGTCTTTTTTTTTTTTTTTTTTTTTTTTTTTTTCAAATTCATATTTTATTCTGAAAATTCTGTTGTACTTGACAGGGAGGCATTACTCAGGAAATGATCCAAGTGTTGTACAGTGAAAATGTGGAAGAACAAGAAGCAGCAACACAGAAATTTAGAAAACTCCTGTCCAGAGGTGAGAAAAGACTTCTGTAATCAGGGATTTAAAATATGTTAACATCTTAAAATCTTATATGGGGAAAATACTGATAAAAATGTTTAACTAAACACTGAACAATATTCAGAAAAAAATAGATAATTTTATGAAATCTGGTACAAGACTTTGAGGGAATGTAGTACAAATTACAGGATATTTAGTGCATATGCCATCAGTCTTGCAAGATGCTGTGCCTATAATTGCTTTGGTTTCTACTGATATCCAAACATATTAAAAACATTATTAACAAATTAAAATATTTTTGTCTATGTAGAGCCAAACCCACCAATAGATGAAGTAATTCAGACAGGCATTGTTCCAAGATTTGTTGAATTTCTACAGAAGGATGGCAACTGCTCTTTACAAGTTTGTATCACATATATTTCTACAATATTAAAAAATATATATATTGCAAACTCTTTTTTAGCTCTTAGTCAGCTCACATTACAGTGATCAAACACCGAGAAAGGACATGTCCATTATGACCTGAATCATTGAAAAAGACTGTGTAAATTTTAGTGTTTTCTAAACTCTAGTTTGAAGCTGCCTGGGCCCTCACAAACATAGCATCAGGTACCTCCCTACAAACCAGAGTGGTGATAGAAGCAGGTGCTGTGCCAATATTTATAAAATTGCTTGCATCAGATATAGAGGATGTACAAGAACAGGTGAGATATATACATACTTCACAGGTAAAAGTGCATGTGTCATAGGTGAGACATTACCTATTTCATAGGTCACACATAACACAGGTTTATTCTTGCTTTATGACAAAGGATTTTCAATTTCAATTTGTATAAGTGGCAAGGAAAATTGTAAAAGTTTTGAACTTAATTAAATCTTTCTGCTAGGACATGTATGTCTACACTTCCTGAGTTTAAGGTGTAACTTTGTAATGTACATGTATTTTATTAAGAAATAACTTTGTTATTTGTTTTTCATGACGTAAAGATATGATGAGCTTTACTTTCCAAGGTCAAAGTTATTGAGCATTTAGATGTTCAAGTTGTATCACAAGTCAATTCTGAGTTTTAATCTTAAATCTTTAATTTTCATGGATTATACGCACATTTAAATATAATTTCCTAATGATTTCATTAATCTTGACTCAAAGTTATGTCACCAGGCCATGATTGCACATTCAACTTTAAATTCATAATATACATGTATAATTGTGTAAATATGCAAAGAAAAAAACTGTTGGTGTAATAGTATTCACTGCTATTGTTTGGGGATTTCAAAAAAATTTAATGTGTTTTGTGTATTAACAATATAGACAATATCTGATATTGTACAGGCTGTGTGGGCTTTAGGAAACATTGCTGGAGACAGTCCGGAATGTAGGGACTATGTACTGAACGAAGGAATCCTGGTCCCTTTGTTACAGTAAGTGTCCAGTTTATAGCCTTCCTTTGATGACGGGATCAAAGTTGGCAGTGGGATATTTTACAACATTCGTATGATTTAAGAAATTAAGAAGATATGCATGTTAAAAGAATGGAAGTGACAGAGTAATGATTGTCTTGCATTGCAAAATACCTTATCCACATACATGTATTAAGGGATTGATGCAGAGGACTATAATATGCATGTATAATATCAGAAAATTGTTTGGTACTTTCATTTAAAAATATCAAAAATTGATTTGTCTAGTAATTTTTGACTAATAACGTTATCTTTTCTCAGATTATTAAGCAAAAATACCAGCAGTTTATCTATGACCAGGAATGCAGTATGGTGTTTATCTAATTTGTGTAGAGGAAAAAATCCCCCTCCAGATTTTGCAAAGGTAAAAAAAATATTTCAATTATACTTCAGTTTGACTTTTTTTTTGTTTAGTAAAGAGTACTATAAAATACAGTTGTTCTAATGTATGCCTATAACTGCTTGTCAGTGGTCGCACCATGAACTTTACAATAGAAAAATTCCTTTTATTATTAAATGGGGGGGGGGGGGGGGGGTTAGGTTACAATATTGCGAGTATAATTTGGTTTTGTTTTAGGTTTCTCCCTCCTTACCTGTGTTAGCCAGACTGCTGTTTCACACAGATAAAGATGTTCTAGCTGATGCATGTTGGGCATTATCTTACTTATCTGATGGTCCCAATGAAAAGATTCAGTCTGTGATAGATTCAGGGGTGTGTCGTCGACTGGTGGAACTACTCATGTAAGTTTGTAAAAAGGGACAGCCTATCTGACAATGTGATGGTAACATTCATTTAGATTCAGTGTCGTTAAGGCAGTTTCAAAAACTTGTTGAAGGAAGATTTTACTTTGAGAAGACTCTGATGACTTAAATAAGAATTCTTGTTAGAAATATTTTTGAAACATGAAACCATAGAAAAGTGAGTGTAAAATTACGACCATTGAATTTGTAGGTATACACATCAGAGTGTTGTCTCGGCAGCCCTCCGAGTTGTTGGAAACATAGTAACGGGAGATGATTTTCAAACACAGGTATTGATTGAATTTATCCTTTTACATGCAATAAATTCTTGTTGTATATTCTTGCATACTGTAAAAAAAATGTTCAGTATGTTATAAATTATTAGCATCTGTTCAAACTTAACTGGAATGGATTTTTTTTTCTAGATTATCTTGAACTGTTCTGCTCTGCCTTGCTTGTTACATTTACTCAGTAGTTCTAAAGAATCAATACGAAAGGAGGCATGTTGGACAATTTCAAATATAACAGCAGGAAACAGAATGCAAATACAGGTTTGTGTTCTGAAAATATACTTCATATAAAATTCACATACAACAGCAGGAAACAAAATGCAATACAAGTTTGTCTGCTGAATATGTACACTTTGTGTAAAATTTACTTAGAAAATTACTAACATTCAGACTCACAGAATTGAAATTAAATGTTCATTCTTAAAAGTTGGATAAAGTCAAAAATCATGCTTAAGGGTTTCAACCCTAAAGCTAGTGGGAGGACTTAAAATTTTGCACACTAATAGACCTAATTACATATCTATAAAAAGGAGTTAGGAATAAAGGTAGAGAAAACATGCATCGTAGATGTGAAATTTAAAGAAAAGTTGAAAAAGATTATGCTGATCTATATTATGAAGCTTTGTAATAAACATGACATGATTTCAATATGAAAATTGCTATTTTTGTTTAAGAAGAGGAAATATTATTTAGATACTGTTGTACACTTAAGTGTTTTATTTTACAGATAGTACAAGATACAAGCATAAATACTTATTGTTCTTTTTATTGAATTGACAATTTAAGATTTTTTTTGTAGTGTGTCATTGATGCCAATATATTTCCTGTTTTGATTGATATTCTGGGTAAAGCTGATTTTAAGACAAGGAAGGAGGCAGCATGGGCTATCACTAATGCCACATCAGGGGGGTCACCAGAGCAAATCAGGTAAAATATTGAAAACCACATGAATATAGAAATCTTGGTCAACCAGGTAAAGCTCTGGTCAGTCAAATATTATAGAAATCTATATAAAATACATGTAGGTAAATGATGAAAACCAGGTCATTCATTTGAATATTATAGAAACTATGTCATTAAGGTAAAGATCAGAATATGGTCAGTCAAGTAAATAAAGAAATCTAGGTCAATGAGATAAATATAGAGAAACAGGTCAGGTAGGTAAATACAGTCAACTACTGTACAGCAGGAAATTAACTCGCGGAGTTAATATTCACTATATTCGCGGAAATAAAAATTCCGCGAATTCAACATACAGTGAATAATTCTTCAAAAATTGATAAGGATAAATTGAAATATTACCAATATCTGTGATTAGATACGTTAACTCTATTTGCGTTTCCTTGCAAACATAAAAGCAGTAATTAATATATAGCGGAGATGTAGACACGTAGTTGTTGTTTTTTTTAAGCTTAATTGATAAATAAACATCCATAACTAACATTTAATTCTGCCAACCAGTAGAGGTGCGATGTAATTATCTATGAAACATGTATTGTTAGATTTCACTCATGCATATCACTTGGTCTTATTATCTTTAATCAAGGCACTTACGTAGTAAAGACAACACTGTTACACATTAATTCAATTTTATTAACAGTTCAACATTTTGACTATCGGTACTGACAACTGATCTAGATTCAGGGGGATATAAATATACTGCAGTAAATACTACTCTGTACTCTACTCAAAACATACCTATGAACGAACACCTGCCAAAGGGCTTCATTTTTTTTTTTACATGTATGTTTTGGATACGACTGGAAATCACTTGAATAAATCACTCGAGAATAAACTCATATGTATTTCAAAAATATTTAATAAAAAGAAAGAAAGAAGAAAATTTATCTGAATGCGTAACCTGTAAATCGTACAACATTTTGTCTTCTAATCGGGATAAGTATGGTGTTTATTTCTATTTAATCGGGTTCAGAATCGACACAATACGCAAGGAAAATATTTGCAGTGCTGAAAAAGTTTTTGCATAATTTTTCCTTTCCGCGAATTCAATCGACCGCGATTTGCTGCAAGTTGAACAAATCACGATCTTTTCCGACCGCGATTTTAACCTGCTGTACAGTATTTGTAGTGTTTGAGAGCCTAAGTTAGCCCCATGATCCACACAAAACAACTGATTTCAAAGTAAAGACATTTTTGATTGCATCCCACGTGAAATTAATGTAAGGACATTTTGATGCCTGCTGTTATGGTACAGACATATTTAAAATAATCTTTTTTCAGTGTTTTCATTTTGAGGACTAAGCATATCTTACTTTGACCTGTTCGGATTTTTCCTGTAGGTTTTTGGTAGACCAGGACTGTATCCCTCCTCTGTGTGATTTACTGACAGTGATGGATGCTAAGATTGTACAGGTGGCTCTTAATGGTTTGGAAAATATTCTACGACTTGGAGAGCAGGACGCTAAAAATCACAATGGCACAAATCCATATGCTGTTTTAATTGAGGAATGTTATGGTAAGGATTATCCAGATAATCTCTGGAAGTCTTTAATTTATCCCTGATGACAGCTTAAACATGCACGCACCTTAATTTAAATTAATTTATAAAGTTATTAATGCTTTACAATTTAATGTCAAAAGACTGAGTAGAAATCACAATTATGATGATTTTAAATTTTAATGTCTCGTTTTCTGTTGGTATTGGAGAAATTCCAAATTTTTTTGGTATTTTGGCAATAGAAAGTGTAGTTCACACATAACCTTATGGTTATTGTGGTATTATTTTACACATAGCACAAAACATCTCCAGAAGATATGTGGACACCTTCACTCAATAAATAAAGGTTAAAATTTTTTGGATGTCATGGTTTTTTAGAACACCTGAGTCTTAGGCTCAGATTAGTCTAAGGCTCAGGTGAGTGTTGTGGCACATTGGCCTCTTCTTCACTCACGTCTGAAAATATGACAAACTGACAACATAAATTTCAGTCAGAATAATAAATATTGCAACTTTTCGAATTTTGTACAAAGAAGCAAACTTTAGAAATAAATTTGAATAAAAACCGTATGTGCTTTAAAAAGTTCATTTGAATTGTACAGTGAATATGAAATTCATAAAATTAATGAACATCTGTGAAAAGAGATTTATTTTTGTTATTTAAGAAAATGAATATTTCTCTTTCTGATTAACTTTTCTTATATAAACCAATGAATTTATTCTAAAATTAAAGTTGAGTTCTTCTTGAAGAACTAACATTTATAGTACAGCCAAACCTTGTTATTCGATGGGACTAAAATTTGTAGATCTCTGAGGATTCGAGATATCAGTGGTTGGGACTTCCAAATCACTTCAACATATCCATGGTATTCAAGATATCAGTGTTTGAGATACCTTTTTCCTCTGTATGTAGGTTTAGACAAGATAGAATTTCTACAAAGTCACCAGAACAGAGAAATCTACCAAAAAGCTTTCGACATGATTGAGCGATATTTTGGAACGGAGGAGGAGGATAAAGCTGTTGCCCCTCAGCTGGATGAAAACGCTCAGCAGTATGAATTTAACGCACCTGCTGAAAATGTTCCCATGGGCGGTTTCCAGTTCTAGGAGGTGCTGTTGTATTCACTGGCTATAGAACTGTTGAGAAGCGGTGATGGAGGATATAGTGTTACAGAGCATTATGAAGGAAGTTGTCATCTCATGAGAACTATCTGGTCTTTCTACCTCTGTGTAGATTATTTCATCGCGGGTTGGGGATGTTACGACGCATTTCAAATAATCAATTTTATTATCTTTCCCACAGTGAATTGTAAAATATAGTTCAATCATTTTTAAAAGAAGGCCCACTGATGGTTTAATCTGGCCCTGTAAAATTTCTTCAATATTGATCACCATCAGGCAGATCTCAAAGGTTTCCAAAGGTGTAAAAAAAATTGTGTTGGTTTCTGGATATCCTGAAAAATCTTGAATACAGTTTATGTTTATATTAATACTCAGTATTTGAAAGGAAACCCAAATAATCTCAAAATCTATACAATAGTCTCATGTAAGAACTTTTGTGTATAAAGTCTGTTTTTGTGTGCTTCACAGGTTCAGTTGCCCACTCTTTCCTATTTAAGAACGGTTATGAAATATGATTGAAGATTTTAAGAGTACTTAGTATAACCTCAGAAACTGGTCAGATGCTGATATTTTATTAAAATGAAATTTACAGGGCTGCATTATGCAAAAGTGAACCAAGCTATTTACTTAGGTTAATTAGTATCTACAGCTTCTTTAAACAATTTCAGTACTTGGAGTTATCTCCCCTATTTCTAAACGTAAATGTTTGTTGTTGTTTTTATGTAAGAAATTATTTTAAGTATAAAGCAGATTATGTAACTGTTGTGATTTTTTTGGAATGTTTGTATTCTTATATGGAGCTTAATATATTCATTCTTTGTCATTCTTTAACATGGGTATTTTTCATTTTTTTTTCTCTTGTTTAAAAGCCTTGCGTACTGAATGTTGTTTAGGTCTTCATTTGTTTCAGTTCTCTGTAAACTTCTGTTATTATATCAAATTTTCTTTGTAATTTTGAATCTCTATGTCAAATGACAGCTTTCTAAGCAAATATTTTTGTTCAAAACCCAGTGATTTTAAAGTATATTAATTAGCACCTTCTCTCTTAGGTTAGATTTCCTCTGCTTTTTATGTACATGGGAGTATATAGTTAGGTAATCTTGTATGTCCCTATTTGTATTTTTACCTCACATCTTTTCTGTTCTTGTAGATATCCTGTTGGGGTGTGATAATATACAAGTACATGTTTCATCTTTGATACCTTGCTTACAAATCTGTTTATATTTGTATTTTGATACTGTTTGAAAAAAGACAAAGGAATATGGTGGTATCTTGTTACCATGCAATGTCAGAGTCACTTATTGCAAATTTTATCAACTTTTTAAAATTTAGTTTTCTCATAATTATAATTCCAAAGTTTGTTGTTGCAGAGGTATTTTCAAGCTTTCCTTTTTTTTCTTGATCCACAATCATTTTTGAACAGGTCAGATTTATGTCAGGTATTTTAAGCCAATGAAATACTAACTTATATTTCACAGAATTATAAAGGGTACAGTAATTATATTTTTATGTAAGGTAATGAAAATAATGATAATTGTCTCTGATATTACTTTGTTGGACGTGTTTCATTTCCATTGGGTCATAATTTTAATTATGTGAATTTAAAGCATATCTATTTTAGTAATTGGTTAATTGAGCAGTATTTGTATATTATTACACCCCTTATGTTTTGTAAATACGCCAAAGAAGTAAAAACAAAAGAGTCATATTATAACACAACTTTCAAAAATATATTACCTTTTAGGAAAAGAAAATATGAATGAAAAATTGTCACATGTCAGATGTAAATGTACATTTATACAACCACAAAACAACTTCAACCATGAAAGAATACATGCTGAGAATTATCAGTTACACACATGCATGCTCTACTGCCATTCAGTACAGTTCACGGACAATTACACACGTGAATTAACATGAAAACATTTGCCCTTTGTTTACTGTAGATTCCTTATTTACGCAAGTCCTTAATATCGCAAAATGACTCTAGGACGTCAAATCGCAGGAACAATAATTCGCGAGTGAATGCTTGATCTAGAGATTTACATACATTTAATCACCATAAAAATAAAAGTGAGTAATTTAAATTCCTGAGTAGAAGTACTTGCAAAATCACGCAATAATTTTTTCCTCGCGTATATTTAGGAATCTACAGTATACTCTCTGCCCTCAGGATTGAGTGTTCATGATTTCTGAGTAAAGCCCCGAGATCTCACTTTTTTTTATATGGCCCTGTTGTGAAGGGCATGCAAAACTGAGTTCTTTCCGATTTTATATTATTATAATTTTATTGTTGCTATTATAGCAAATGGTGCTTTTTATATAAGGATGAAATTTTTCTTGTCTTTGTTAATTCTTTAGAGGGAATTACTTCAAAAATCTCCAGTTATTGAGATTGGCATAATAAAGTCAATGCTGCTTATCAAGATGATCAAGATGTAATGTCTAGCAGTCAAAGAAGAGTTTTTGCCCCTTTAGATGGTTGTCAAACAACAGCGCCCCCTGAGAAGTAAATGGTTCTATTGGGATGGGGGGTCCTCACGGACAGTAAACAGTTCCACGGGAAGGGGGGTCCTTAAGGACGGTGAACACTTCCCCAAGGCCCCAGATTAAAAAAACACACGTCAGGGAAAGAAAAGTTCCCAGTAACATAACACCAAACTCACACAGACGACATACTATTCCACACTGTCAATTGTCAAGTCAAACGTGTGACCATTTGTTATAAATAAATCATTAAACCTATGCCAGTGTTGCGTTCTTCTTTTGGAAGCTATTCTGATTTCCCCCCCCCCCCCCCCCCCCCCGTGAAATGGTTGGTGGAAAAATCGTGTTGAGGTAATATATTGATTATTGGTGAAGATTCCTACAAATATTGCCATAGTGTGACCTTTTTTTTTTTTTGCATAAATCATTTGATATCCACAAATATAAATACACTCTCTAAAGATGGCATGTATTATGATATGGCATTCATGTTCATTTGTCTGTTAGATTTACAGTGTCTGGTTCCTAACCCAGGAACAAGAGGCATAGAATCACAAAACTGTCAGCTGGTACATCTTAGGTAGAAGGTGTGTCGCAGATTAAAAATAAGTCACTGTGATCTATAATTATGTAGTTTTCGGAGACGAAGTCTTCCAACAATCTGTTGGAATTCCCATGTGTCCCAATTACGCTACCTTATTAGCAGACTTATTTTGTATTCACATGAAGCAGAATTTGTTTTAAAAACTTCTACATGAAATAAAGAAGTCTTACTATGGCCTTCAATTCGAAATATAGATATATCGACGATGTTTTATCAATTAACAATATTCATTTCCACTCCTACGTTGATTCGATATATCCCCTTGAACTCGAAATAAAAAGACACCATAGAGTCTGACACATCTATTTCATATTTAGATATTCTACTAGAAAAAGACATTAATGGCAACCTAACAACAAAACTTTGATGATAAACTCGATGACCAACTTTTCTATCATCGACTTCCCTTATTTATGTAGCAATGTGTCATTATCACCTGCAATGGAGTCTATGTCTCCCAGTTGATTCGATACGCAAGAACATGCTCTACGTACGAACAATTTACGAGTCAAGCTATTGACAAATAAGTTGATTTCAACTGGGATATCAATATTCTATGGTCAATACGATGGCCTTGTTAGCAAATACAATCTTTTTTGTTGTGAAATAATGACTGATGTTTTTCAAACAAATTGTTAGGCCATTGTTTTCACACAGAATTGTTTACGGGTTTTCCGTTTGCCCGGTGATGACAAATACCGTAGCACACGGCGGATGTGACCGATCGACAGGGGATGCTTACTTCTCCATGGCGTCTGATCCCACCTATGATGTTTTAGAGGTTGTGTTTGCTCTGATTCCAATCTGTATTGTTCCAATGGATTTTTGAACTGTTCGTTATCTTTATTTTTCATAACCAAGTATGTTAAATATTTGTCTGTCTTATTACTGGGAAACATTTACCCAGAATCATCAAATTTGGTCAGTTAATGTATCTTATGACATATTAAATATCCAATAATAATGTACAGGTACAGGGTGTTTCATAGTATATGTTACATTTTGAATCTTCAAATTAACAAACACAAGAAAAAGACACAGAAAAATGTTCACATCAATTTAATACAGGTGTCCATTAGATTCATTATGTAAAATTACCAACCAAAATATTAAACACTGGACAAAATCTTAACCATTAATGAAAGTAAGCAAAATTTCTAAATCATTTTTGTTACGTTGAAGTTCACAATGTCAAAGCCTCACATTACATGTTCTAAATCATCTCCGCCTATTTCAACTACAAAAGAAAGTTCCTCATGGAAATTTTTATAACTGTTGTCACACATTGGTGAGACACTCATATTTTGTGTACTGTCCTTTATAAGCCATTTAGTATCTGGGATCTAGGATAAAGACCCTGTTCTTGAGAAACCTTTACAGAAGAAGGCTTAAAGATTGCAAATTCAGGGGCCAAAATCTTTATTTGGGGCGTTGCATTATTGAGAATTTGTATGTTGATAACTTCATATTATATTTAAAGCTCAATACACACACAAAATGCTGATATGTCCAGGTTCAATTTCTGAAAACATCCATCTGACACTTTTCTATAGAGTTTGCTGCATTATTTAAAGTCCCCACTTCAAGAAGATTTTCCCTTCTTGATCACATGAAGTCCTTATAATTAGTCTTCCTGGATTATTGTGTCATTTCTCGCATATTGCCATCCTTGCCCTAACCTTTGTTACAAGCATTCTGATAAGCATCTTAGAAAGCTTCTTTTCTTTTGGAATATTTTCCTTCAATTTCTGAATGAATTCAATTTAGCAATATGTAGATAAGTTATGTCCATTTCAAAAAATATTCAAATAATGACAACGACATTTCTGTCTCAACTTAACAATATAACTCAAAGATTTCCTTGACTTTTTCATGTTGAATTAAAATGGAGGATTTGATGTTTAAAATGATATATGGTTTGTATTAGAAATATGAAAGGTAAGAAAAATATCTAGATCAAAAAATGTAACATACATTATGAAACACCCTGTACTACAAAAATGTACTGAAAAAAAGTTATGCAAGAGTTCTAATTGGACATTGGTGTTATCCATATCTCTCAGGAATAGGGCAGAGGAATTAAATCTGGCCCCAGGATCATGAAACATCTTAAGCTTAAGTCAATGTTGAGTTTTCTTTTATGTTGAATGTATTAAAGTTTTGTAGAAGTCAAGCAGACCAAAATCAAAATATTTTTCAATATTGCTTCACAAAAGTGTTGTTATCTGCAAATTTAGAGATTAATTCAATAAACATTAAATATTTACAGCCATTTGAAAATTTGACTTAAGTCTAAGTCTGTTTCATGATCTCCTTACCTGGTCTCTTAATTGCAATTGATAGCATCTGTCAAATTAAAAAAAATCTTCATGCCCAGCCCTTTGTTTTCAAAACTAATTTGACATTAACAAAATATTAAGTAATTTCTGCACCAAAAGGCAATAAAATGTGGAGGTTCCGATCCAAAGTCGAAAGGAATATTAATTCCTTAAAGCATATCATTGTTCAACGATTCAATAACGATTCAATCTTTGATCAATTTGTCAAATTAATAACTGATTAGGTTTCTCTCTCTATGCCTGTGTTAGCCAGATTTCTGTTTCACACAGATAAAGATGTTCTATCTGATGCATGTTGGGCATTATCTTACTTATCTGATGGTCCCAATGAAAAGATCCAGTCTGTGATAGATTCAGGGGTGTGTCGTCGACTGGTGGAACTACTCATGTAAGTTTGTTAAAAGGAACAGCCGATCTGACAATGTGATGGTAACATTCATCTAGATTCAGAGCCATGTAGGCAGATTTGAAAAAAAAAAATATGAAAGATTTTGGTCAGAGAAGGCTTTCAAAAATGTTCTTTCATGAGCTAAACAAGAAATCTCGCTAAAAGCATTATTTTGAAACATTAAACCGTAGAAAAGTGAGTGTAAATTCTGTCCGTTGAATTCGTAGGTATATACATCTGAGTGTTGTCTCGGCAGCCCTCCGAGTAGTTGGAAACATAGCAATGGGAAGTGATTTTCAAAGACAGGTATTGATCGAATTTATCATTTTGCATGCAATAAATTCTTGTTGTATGTTCCTGGATAATTAAAAAAGTGAGATATGATATGAATTATTAGCATCTGTTCATACTTAACTGTATTTTTTTTTTTTAATTTTTCCTAGATTATTTTGAACTGTTCTGCTCTGCCTTGCTTGTTACATTTACTCAGTAGTTCTAAAGAATCGATACAGAAGGAGGCGTGTTGGACAATTTCAAATAACAGCAGGAAACAGAATGCAAATACAGGTTTGTATGCTGAATATACACTTTATATAACATTTACTAAAGTTAAGACCTAAGAATTCAAATAAAATGATCTTAAAAGTTAGAGAAAAACCAAAAATCATGTTTAAGGGTTTCAACCCTAAAGCTAGTGGGAGGACTTAAATTTTGCACTCTAATAGATAAAACCTGCAATTATAGAAGTGAAATGTAAAGAAAATTGAAAAAGATGATGCAAATCTATATTTCATAGCTTTGTTATAGACATAATATGACTTCAAAATGAAATTTCTATTTTTGTTATAGAGGAAGATTATTGTTTAGATACCAAAGTACACTAAGTGTTTTATTATCCAGATAGTACAAGATACAAGTATATGTATTTCTTATTGAAATGACATTTTGAGGCTTTTTTTGTAGTGTGTCATTGATGCCAATATATTTCCTGTTTTGATTGATATTCTGGGTAAAGCTGATTTTAAGACAAGGAAGGAGGCAGCATGGGCTATCACTAATGCCACTTCAGGGTGGTCACCAGAACAAATCAAGTAAATTTTGAAAACCACGTCAAGGGGGGAGGGTCACCAGAACAAATCAGGTAAATATTGTAAACCACGTCAGGGGGGTCACCAGAACAAATCAGGTAAATATTGTAAACCAAATCAGTGGGGTCACCAGAACAAATCAGGTAAATACTGAAAACCACGTCAGGGGGGGGGGGTCACCAGAGCAAATCAGGTAAATACTGAAAACCACGTCAGGGGGGTCACCAGAGCAAATCAGGTAAATATTGTAAACCACATCAGGGGGGTCACCAGAGCAAATCAGGTAAAATATTGAAAACCAGGTGAATATAGAAATCTTTGTCAACCAGGTAAAGATCTGGTCAGTCAGGTAAATATTATAGAAATCTAGGTCAATCAGGTAAAGATCAGAATCCGGTCAGTCAAGTGAGTAAAAAAATCTAGGTCAATCAGGTAAATAAAGAGAACCAGGTCAGATAGGTAAATACGGAAAATAAGCCAATGTCAACTGTTTCTTGTGTTTGAGAGCTTAGTTGGCCCCTTGATATTATACATAAAACATTGAATTTCAAAGTAAAGGTATTTTGTTTGCATCCCACTGTGAAATTAATGTATAGACACTTTGATACATGTCATTAATGTACAGAGGTATTTAAAATAATCTTTTTTTTTCAGTGTTTTCATTTTGAGGACTAAGCATATCTTACTTTGACCTGTTCGGATTTTTCCTGTAGGTTTTTGGTAGACCAGGACTGTATCCCTCCTCTGTGTGATTTACTGACAGTGATGGACCCTAATATTGTACAGGTGGCTCTTAGTGGTTTGGAAAATATTCTACGACTTGGAGAGCAGGACGCTAAAAATCACAATGGCACAAATCCATACACTGTTTTAATTGAGGAATGTTACGGTAAAAAGTGTCCAGATAATCTCTGGATGTCTTCAATTCATGCCTGATGACAACTTAAACATGCATGCACTTGAAAGAACAAAGTACTTGTTGGGCTTCATTTAAATTAATTTCTAAAATGACTGCTTTACAATTTAAGTATCAAATGACTGAATAGAAATCGCAATTCATGATAATTTAAAATTTTTCTGTTGGTATCGGAGAAATTACGAATTTTTAAAAATTTTGGCAATAGAAAGCATAGTTCGCTTGCATAACCTAACTGAAATTCCTCATGTTAATTTTGATATTATTTAACACATAATACAAAAAAATCTCAGGGAGATGTATGTGAACACCTTCAATTATTAAAGGTTAAAATTTTTTGGGTGTCATGGCTTTTTAGAACACCCGAGTCTAAGGCTCAGGTGAGTGTTGTGGCACATTGGCCTCTTCTCCACTCATGTCTGAAATATGACAAACTGATAACATAATTTCAGTCAGAAAAATAAATATTACAACCTTTCAAATTTTGCACAAAGATGCAAACTTTAGAAATAAATTTTAATAAAAACTGTATGTGCTTTAAAAAGTTCATTTGAGCAGTGAATAAGAAATTCAAGAAATTAATGATTATCTGTGAAAAGAGATTTTTTTGTAATTTCAGAAATTAAATATCTTTCTTTCTGATTATTTTTTCTGTATAAAAACCAAATAACTTCATTCTAAACTTAAGGTAGAGTTCTAGTACAACCAAACCTCGTTATCTCAAACTCGATGGGACTGAGAAAAAGATATCTGAGGATTCGAGATATGAGTGGTTGGAACTTCTAAATCGCGTCCACATATTCGTGGTATTTAAAATATCAGTGATTAGGATACCAAAGTTTAACAATAATTTGAGCTAGAGTATTTACACACTTATCCTTTTTCCTCTGTATGTACATGTAGGTGTAGACAAGATAGAATTTCTACAAAGTCACCAGAACAGAGAAATCTACCAGAAAGCTTTCGACATGACTGAGCGATTTTTTAGGACGGAGGAGGAAGATCAAGCTGTTGCCCCTCAGCTGGATGAAAACGAGACGCAGTTTGAATTTAACGCTCCTGCTGAAAATGTTCCGATGGGCGGTTTCCAGTTCTAGGAGGTGCTGTTGTATTCACTGGCTATAGAACTGTCGAGTAGCGGTGAAGGAGGATATAATGTTGCAGAGCATTATGAAGGAAGTTGTCATCTCATGAGAACTATCTGGTTTCTCTACCTCTGATTATTGCATCAAAATTGGTACCGTATATGATTAACATTATATCACTGAAGAGATATAATTTGTCGAAATGCGCATCTGGTACATCAAAATTGGTACCGTATATGATTTACATTCATTCTTTGTCATCCTTGAAAATGGGTATTTTTTTATTTCTCTTGTTTAAAAGCCTTGCATACTGAATGTTGTGTAGGTCTTCATTTGTTTCATTTTGTATCTTTGTGTCAAATGACAGCTTTCTAAGCAAAGATTTTTGTTCAAAACCCAGTGATTTTAAAGTATATTAATTAGGGCCTTCTCTCCTAGGTTAGATTTCCTCTGCTTTTTATGTATATGGGAGTATATAGTTAGGTAATCTTGTATGTCCCTATTTGTATTTTTACCTCACATCTTTTCTGTTCTTGTAGATATCCTTTTGGGATGTAATAATATACATATTTCATCTTTGATACCTTGCTTACAAATCTGTTTGTATTTTGATACAGTTTGAAAAAAGACAAAGGAATATGACAATATCTTGTTACCAATTTCAGAGTCACTTATTGCAAATTTTATCAACTTTTTAAAGTTAATTTTTTTCAACTTTTTGAAATTAAATTTTTTCCTAATTATAATTTCAAATTAGGTGTTGCAGCGGTATTTTCAAGCGTCCCTTTTTTCTTGATGCACAATTATTTTGAACAAGTCAGATTTATGACAGGTTATTTTAAGCCAATGAAATACTTGTATTTCACAGAATTATAAAGGATACAGTTATACCATGTTTATATAAGATAATGAAAATGATGATAATTGTTTCTTATATTAGTTTGTTAACTGGACCTGTATCATTTCACATATGGGTCAAAATTAAAATTGTGTGGATATAAAGCATCTCTGTTCTAGTATAATAAGAAAGGGAATTGGTTAGTTTGAGCAGTATTTGTATATTAATACACCATTTATGTTTTGTAAATACGCCAAAGAAGTAAAAACAAAAAAGTCATATTAAAACAGAACTTTCAAATACATGTATACCTTTTAGGAAAAGAAAATATAAATGAAAATTTTTCACATTTCAGATGTATATTTATTAGGGATGGCAGTTTGTAACCGGTTAACCGATTAATCGGTCGCAACGATGGTAATCGGTTAGGAAATCTGTAATCGGTTAGTTGGAAAAAAATAAAAATATGTGTAATTATCCTTAAAATTAAATTTGCAAGTTAAAAAAAAATGAATGTTGATAAGTTATAGCGTTTTTACGTGCATGTATTTAGATATAACTTATTAGGACTCTTCGGACGGAGGTGTTGGGGTAATTGGTCAATTTGTGAAGTGTTAATTGCTGTTTAAACACCATGCCGTTACCCAGCTTGTCCTCTACATGTATTTCTTTAATGATAATAATTAAATCACCGTTGAGTATTGTGAACTGATTACATTGTGTATCTTAATTTTGCAGTTATCTGCCAATTTATATTTTTATGCAAACATTGTAAATCAAGTAATAGTTTAAAAAGGTTTGTTCTGAGCTTTTGAGCAGATTTTTGTCTTGACCTCTTGAAAAAAAAATCGGCGTAATGTTTTAGTTCTTATAATAAATTTGGATTCTACAATGCAAAATAAAAATCTATATTCAATTAAATCCCCATGATTTAATTGAGCTATGTGTATAGATTCTAAAAAATATACTTTGATAGCAGGATCCAACCTCCTTAAACTTTGTTTCTGTTTATGGTGACAATGCAGAATGACCGTATGTAATGTTTGGGGTCGTCAGAAAGTTATCAATGTCCTTGATACAAGTATCTCTTGGATGTTTTATGGTTTTCCTTTCGAAATTGAATTAAAATACGTAAAATAATACAGATCAAGCATAAACAGAACATTATTAATGCCTTTTTTCTTTTCTTTTCTTTATTTATATATTAATTTATTGGGAGGGGGGTATGAATAGAAGTAATTTTTTAAAAACGATGTCCGGAAAAGAGTATTTTGTTACGATTAACCGGTTAATCGGTCGGAACGCCTTACGGTTAACCGATTGGCAATTTTGTATTCGATTCGATTGCCATCCCTAATATTTATCAACCACAAAACAACCTTATATGAAAACAGAAAACATGCTGAGAATAATCAGCTACACACATTCACTACAAATTAAAGACAATTACACATGTATTGAACATGAAAACATTTGCCCTATGTATATGCTCTCTGTCCCCAGGATTGAGTGTTCATGATTTCACGAGATCTCACATTTTTATATGGCCCTTTGTGAAGGGCATGTAAAACTGAGTTCTTTCCAATTTTATATTATTATAATTTTATTTTGTTGCTATTATAGCAAATGGTGCTTTTTATATAAGGACGAAATTTTCTTATCTTTGTTAAATCTTGAGAATGAAATACTTCAAAAAATCTCCAGTTATTGAGATAGGCATAATAAAGTAATCGGTCATGTAAATGCTGTAGATCCTCATAGAGAGGATCAAGATGTAATGTCCAGCAGTCAAAGAAGAGTTTGTCCCTTTAGAGGTTGTCAAACAACATCACCCAAGGGGGGTCCTCACGAACTGTGCCATGGGAAGGGGGCCCTTAAGGGCAGTGAACATTTCCCCATTTAGGGCCCAGGATTTAAATAAAAACCCACACACGTCAGGTAAAGAAAAGTTCCCAGTAACATAATACCAAACTCACACAGACGACATATTATTCCACACTATCAATTGTCAAGTCAAACGTGTGACCATCTATTATAAGTAAATCATTAAACCTCTGCCAGTATTGTATTCTTTTTATTTTAGAGAAGTCTTTTATTCGTGAAATTTTTGGTAAAAAATGTTTTGACGTTATCTTTTGGTAAATGTGCAGTTATCTGCAAGTATATGTACTACAAATGCATCACTGTCCATTTCGTCTCCAGTCCTTCAGCAATGGATGTAATAAACACAGTTAAAAAAAACTTTAAAACTTTGTTTAAAGCTGGTGACGTTTTTGTGTAAGGGAAAATAGATTTAACCCCATACAATGACAGATGGAGATAACGAACGGTATTCAAGCTCAAAGTCTATTAAAACAATACAAATCGGGGGCAGAGCAAATACAGACCTCTAAAAATACCAGACGTTGGATCAAGTGCCATCAAAGAAAAGAAAGTATCAAACATAATTAGGACCAGTTTTTTAAATTTACTTTTTTTTTGTTTTAACCCGGGTTAACTGAAGAAATGTTAATTGGAGTGCTTGTCAACTGACACAGAACTTCAAGCCGATGTGTACCCTAAAATTAGCCTTAATACAAGAAGTTAATTTCCTGTTATATTTTTCTTATTTTTTTTCTTTTAAATCCCACAAATGGAAGCAGGTGGTTGTGTTAATTTTTTTTTATAATAATGATAATAGATTATCTATATAACTTAAACTATAATACTTATTGATACTGTATTTGACATGTATATATATTTCATTGATCTGAGTTTATTCCGATGACAATTCATATCTGTTTTAATGACCTTCACAATAATCTATTTTTAATCATCATTGCATTTTGCTTAAAGGTTACCCCATAAAATAAAATAACCAAAGCACACATTGCATGCAGAAATAACTCCAAATAAACCCTATCACACATTACCAGAAATTAACTACAAAAATAACCCCAACACCCATTACCAGAAATTAACACCAAACTAACCCCAACACACATAACTCGAAAAAATAACCCCAACACAGATATAAACTCCAAGATTACCCAACACACATTGCCATATTTTAACTCCATATCGAGTGCTTGTTGATGCTAATATTTCCTGATTTATATATTTATTTCAACAAAATGTCACTCAATAACAACAAATTAACATGGACACTGCATGAAAAGACATTGCATGGAATTTTCAGTTTAGGATCTTAAACAGCCACTGCACTTTTGACTCTAAAATGTTTTGGTATAAAATAAAATTGGTAATAAAAATCATCTAACCAAATGCGATATGTTCATTTTATGTATATTGATATACGTGATAACATTGGTAAACATGTCACTAACGTGATTATAGCTTAACGAAAGCTGATAACGACAACAGAGTGGAAAGTACTCGAATTCGTAAAATGGCTTCTTCATTGAAAGGACCCAATACACAAGTGTCAGGTAAATTTGTTTTTGTTTTAACGTTGCTTTAACGTTAAATTTTAATGTTTTTTTTTCTTGTAAAGCATTTGTTCTCTTGAATATGTACATTTTCTTGTTGTCTATATTATCATTTACACGACCACATAATGTGTTATACATAAATCTTAATATATGTATGTTTTGTTTGTTTGTTTGTTTATTGTTTAACGTCCCTCTCGAGAATTTTTCACTCATATGGAGACGCCACCACTTGCCGGTGGAGAGCTGCAAACTTTTGGCCTATATTCGGCACTCAGGGCCGTTGAGCAGTGAGGGATCTTTTTCGTGCCAGCACCTACTGCGACACGGGACTTCGGTTTATACGGTCTCATCCGAAGGACCGGTCTCCACGTCCCACACTGGGATTCGAACCCGCGACGTAAGGATCAACTCCTTACTCCGCGACTCTAGAGCGAACGCTCTAACCAATGCGCCACACGGGCGACTAATATATGTATGTAATCATTTATGTGTTTTACATAGGCATTTCTTGATACATAAAATAATATGAAAAGACAATAGGCATTCAGCGGCATGCATCTATAGATAGAAAAAGTTACAGACATTTGAAAATGTATGTGAAAAAAAAACAAAGTTATATAAGCATTTAGAAAAATAGTATATATATATATATATATATATATATATATATATATATATATATATTAGCCGTGGCAATTTGTAACCGGTTAACCGATTACTCGGTCGGAACGATGGCAATCGATTAGAAAATCTGTAATCGGTTAATCGGAAAAAATAAAATATTTGTTAAATTGAACACATTTTTTTTTTAAATTTATTTTAAAAAAGAAATCTCTGCACAAAGGATGATCATTTAGGATTAAAAGGATCTAATTTAGACGTACATGTAATTATGAATATCCAGATTGAGACCGTTGCGTAATTGGTCAGTTTATGTAGTGTTAATTGCTGTGAAAACACCATGTAGTTACTGACTGTCACGTAATTCTTTAATGATAATGATAATGAATAATTGTGCACTGTGAATTGGTGTGTTTGTCGTTTTCAGTTTTCAATCCAACTTATTCATTAAACAAACATTGTAAATTAAGGGCTATAGAGTTCACATGTCGTTTTGATTTTCGTAGTGAAAATGCAGAAAGAACTTTTGTGACATCTGCTCTGGAAATTTATCAAAGATTTCTTAAGCTTTTTTCATGGTTTTCTCAATTTTTTTGTCTACTGAAATTTAAGTAAAAAATAATATGTACCGGTATTTTTCTGATCCAGAATCAAGACTAATGCAGAGTTTTAACTTCTATCGTTTTATTTGGGTCTATTTGTGTATATGGACAGAGCTACTTGAAAAACAATTGTCAAGAAAACGTGCATTTTGATACGATTAACCGGTTAATCTTTCGGAACACCTTGCGGTTAACCGATTAACAATTCTGTAATCGATTGCCATCCCTAATATATATATATATATATATATATATATATATATATATATATATATATATATATATATATACAGGCAAACAAGGTGAAAATAACGAATAGTGATCATTCTCATAAATCCTGTTAACATTGATATTTGTAAACAGGGCAAAACACAGGCCACTGGGGCACCAGAGGTGAGATAAGGTGCCTAGGAAGAGTAGATATACCTGTCAACAGGTAAAACCCACCATGAAACCTCAATATTGATCAGTAAACGTAGTAATCCGTAGCCAAAATAAGCATAAAATATGGCCTAACAATGTTGGTATGAAACATCAAAATAAGCCACAACCAAAGCAATCATTATACGAAACGTAAAACAAGGCAGAAACTCGAGGCTCTGCATGGAAACACCAGAGTGGCATCAGGTGCCTAGAAGTGATTAAGTATACCCTGTCGGTCGATCGCATCCGCCGAGTAATTCGTGGTCAAAATTGATATAAAATCAATGGTTTCAATAGGTATGAAACATGACAGTTAAAATTCGAACCAACAAAAAGTAGCATTAGCAAACATTGTCAATAAAACGACATAAAATTTGCAAAATAGCCTAATTTTAAATGAGACTGTTGTTAGTCTTGTTACATCAACTTATTAGTCAGCATTCTGCTTCGGTTTAAAATCATTTGTGCTCAGTTGTGTCTCTTATGTACCGAATCGGTTGGGAGACATAGTGTCAAAAGCCCCATATATATGGCAGTAAACGATGGAAGTCATCCAATTTGTCATATAGATTAGTTGTTAATTTGCCATTAAAGTCTATAGTCAGTAAAAATATTACAAACATGAAACATGTGTTTGACTCTTAGTAGCTTTTATTTCGCATTCAATGGGTCATATGAATAAAAAAAGAATATTGTTTATTATAAAAAGTTGTGGATGTATCTTAAGTTGAATTGTAGGCCACAGCAAGATTTCTTCTTTATTGTTGAAGTTTTTGAATAAAGTCTGCCTCATAAGAATATAAAAATAGGTTGGCTGATAAAGGAGAACAATATCTTCCCGTTTGTTGGGAAAAAAACGTTCTCCAAAGATTACGAAGATATTATCAATGAGAAACTCCAGCATATTTTTGATATCACCTTCATTCATTCTGTAGAATCAGAATGATTTTTAAAAGTAATTTTGTAGATTACCAATAAAAATAAACAGATTATGTGTTACATTTTTATTCAAAGCAGTTGTCTACAGTCTATGACGTAAAAATTTTAAGCTTATCTTGAATTTATCGCGAGGAAAGGTGTGTAAAATGTTTAAAAGTCGTAGATTAGATGCCTATGAGTTATGAAAACTTTTTAAAAAATTCTAAAAGTTCGTATTTTAAATCCCTATTTGATTTACTCCATTTTATAGATATGTATAATACTAGTACAATACATCTTAAAATTTAGCAATCTATTGGAATGGGTAAAGTGATATATATTATAATTTCAATAATACCGGGTATATCTATCGATAGACAAATTACAGACATGTCGCAATTACATTGTATATGAAAAGGTAAAAGAAATATGCCATTAAATAAAGATTAAATCAAATTACAGACTTTACCTTACAAAGACGTACACAGGCTTTATCTCGACTCTACAAGCTGGCCTTTGTGTCTATTGGTGTTTCCTGTGTATCAATGGTCCTAGGAATTGTTATATTGGTCCTCTCTAGCGGCGCCGATTTCCCCGTTATATCTGGGGCTCCTTTGTGGGCGGGAGCAGTGGTAATTTTCCAATACTATATTTATGCCCCCGTATCGAAGATTCGGGGGTATATATTTTTTGCCCTGTCCGTCCGTCTGTATATCTGTCTGTCTGTCCCTCTGTTAGTCTGTTTATCTGTTTGTCTGTTTGTCCGCAAAACTTTAACATCATAACTTTTGATTGGTTAAAGCTATGGCTTTCATATTTCACATGCGTATTCCTTGTGACAAGACCTTTCTTTGGGTACCATCATATTTGACCTTTTGACCTTGAAGTTTGACCCAGTTTTACAAAAATTTTCCCAACTTTTATTTTCATACTTCACAAGTGTAATCCTTATAACAAGACCTTCCTTTGGATACCAACAACTTTGACCCTTTCACCTTGACCTTGGAGTTTGACCTACTTTTGAAAAACTTTAACATTGGCTTTAACTTTTAAACGGTTAATGCTAGGGTTTTCATAGTTCACATGTGTAATTCTTGTGACAAGACTTTCCTTTGGATACTTACAACTTTGACCCTTTGACCTTGACCTTCTAGTTTGCCCTACTTTTGAAAAACTTCAACATTGGCCATATCTTATGAACGGTTGGTGCTACGGCTTTCATTCTTCACTTATGTAATTCTTGTGACAAGACCTTCCTTTGGATACCAACGACTTTGACCTTTTGACCTTAACCTTTAAGTTTGACTTTCTTTTGAAAAACTTTTTCCTTGGCTATACCTTTTGAACAGTTAAGGCTAGGGCTTTCATTCTTCACATGTGTAATCCTTGTGACAAGCCCTTCATTTAGATACCAACAATCATAGCTCATTGACCTTGACCTCGGAGTTTGACCTACTTTTGGAAAACTTTAACCTTGGCTATTTCTTTTGAACAGTTGGTTCTAGGGCTTTTATGCTTCACATATGCAATCCTTGTGACAAGACCCTATTTAGGATACCAACAACTTTGATCCTTTGACCATGACTTTGGAGTTTGACCTACTTTTGAAAAACTCCAAGGGCTTTCATATTTTACAAGTATATTCCTCGGGACAAGACCTTACTTTGGGTACCAACCTATTTGATTTGCATTTGAGAAAGTTTAACCTTCGCTATAAGTTGCCATACGGGGGCATCAGTGTTTCACAAACACATCTTGTTTTTACTTGCAATTGATAAAACAATTTTTTATGAATTTTCCTAGTAATACGTATATTCTCCAAATGGCATAGGGATTTTTTCAAACTTTAAAGTACACATTGCAACAATTTTTTTTATATCTTTCTTCTTTAAGTTTTCAGTGACTGGCGTGTTAGGTATTCTGGCATCAAAAGAAGACGTGCGTTATGGGTTTATACCACCTCCAAGAACACGATGCTTGGTATAAATTTTACAAATTAAAAACTGTACCAATAATGTTTAATAGTTAATCCGTTTTTCTGTTCATTGGAAAACTTTTATTTTTTCATGATCATTAGAGTTTTGCTTACTAACAAGACTAAAAATCATAATTTTCATATTTTATAGTTGATCTCCCACTACACCCTTTGTATCACATGCTTTAGTGTATGTGGAATATGCTTCGGTTACTCTATAGGAAGTGTTACTATGTGTTCGTCATCAAAAGAAAATTGCGGCACAAACGCAGACCAACAAATCATCCTTAACTTCATCGCTATTTTCATCGCTTTCTTCATGGTCATATGTGTTTTCCTTGGATCCATATTTTTCTGTGTCTATAAAAAGACATTCGGACTGTACAGTCCGAGAGAAATGCTTTTTCAAAGCAGAATCGCTGATTTAGAGGACAGGATTCGAACTATGGAAAACCAGAACTATCAACAACAGACGCAGGATGGCTTTGGAGGTCAATACAGCTACAATAGCTTCTCTACCCCCACCGCCCCTCCACCAGCTTATTCCAAGTGAATACTGACAACCAAAACGGATATATTTTAGTACATTATAATTAAATGAAGAGTCTGTGATAATCATATCATGAACACATTTGTGTGTGTGTGTGTGTGTGTGTGTGTGTGTGTGTGTTAAAAAAGAAGGTACGTGTAATAATTCAAGGTCACTTAACAATGAAGGTTAAGCCTCAGGTGCTAAAGAGTCCTGAAAAAAAAGTTAAATCTCTCTCTCTCTCTCTCTCTCTCTCTTACTTATTACTGTCCTTCGGCTTAAAATAAACTACTATTCAAGACAGGTTTGGTTCGTTGAATATTTAGAATTTAATTCTGTTTCATATACTCTGTTTCACACTGCAAAAGATATCGACTAGTCTGTGGCAGTAGAGTTTCACATTTCCTTTCCTGTAATTAGCCGAGGCAGCATGAACATAATTAGTGTAGATGTTTTGTGTAATTTTACATGGTATTCTTTGAATTTGTTTCCCCAGAGCACATTGTATACTTTCATCTTTTTCGTGTAAAATTACACAAATAGAGGGTTTTTGCAAATCCCAAGCGTTCTTCTTCTTGTTGAATGTAAACTCTTATATGATACAAACAAAATAGCGTAGAAACAAAGAAAAATACAGCAATAAAGATGAAAATGTTATTGAAGTATCTTGCTTCTTGTTATGTAATCGCAATCATTCTGACTGCAGGTGCTGGTATGGTACTAGTATTTTTAATTTTAAATCCTCTAATTTGACTAGTCTACGAAGACGTTTGTCTCCAATACGTTTTTCGCACAATGAGGTATTCGAAGAAAACTAAATCCATACGGAATAAGGGCGTAAAGGTACTGGTATCATTTTCACATGGTAAAACATTGTATAATAACCACGTTTTCAAATTTAAATACATGTACCTTTATGTGGACCTTGTTACAATTAATTAAAAGGATGTTATAAATAGAATTCAAATATCTCAACTTTAGGGCCAAATCACCAAAGAGAATTTAAATAAAGGAGAATTAAATGAAAAATCCAAATCATAAAGACCTTAGTGTTGAAGATAACGAGCAGTGAGCGATCTCTAAAAAATAAAACAATCTGTCAGTATATCACTTGACTTACAATTATTTAATGGTCATAGGGAACATTAACAGGACAAGGTGAACATAAGGAAGTGATCGATCTCATAAAAATCAATATTCAGTACAAATTTGTGAGCAGCTAGGGCATAAAACACGAAACCCTGGAAATCCCATGTTGACCAGTCACACCCTATGCATAGATCAGGTAGACGGAACATTCCGTAGTCAAATTCAATATAAAAACACAGATCTAACAATAGGTATGAAACACGTCAGAGAACATACGACCCAATAACATATTTGATCTGTAATTATAAGCTACAATTATTAACTTAGTTCGAGGGCAACATGCGTTTTGTCGGATTGTTTTAGGCCGAAGGTAAACCGTTTGGTTTGAGGTGTTGAAAAAACGCATTTTGCCCGAGAACACAGTCTAATGTTTTGTTTTACCCTTAACTTTTTTGGGGGGAAATACATATTTATATTGTGATGGGTGGTATGATGTAAATTTCCTATGCGGTTTAAATTAATCCTGCCCACAATGTGATGTAAGCGGTCCAACATCTCATCGACCGGTCCAATATCTCACTATGTGGTCAATCGTCGATTTTTTGGACCGTACAGTAAAACATTAGAAATGTTAGATAGGTTTTAGTAAAGATTTATATTGGAAATAATTTTTAAAGGTATAACGTCACCATAAATACACGCTGTGAAACAAAAACAAATGTTTCGTCAATACCAGAAATATTGCTTTAAAGAATTGTTCTTATGCATTTTAATCCTCCTTTAAATAAAATGAAAGACAAACACTGCACAAGTTATATCACTTACTTTTATATTTAATTGATTTGACGCATATCAGGAATTGCAGGAAATATAAACAGACTGGTTCTTTTAAATGTGTTGTCAATGTGAACTTTAATAAACTAAGAGGGGTACAGTCTTTTTTTTCTTTGAGTGTATAATGAAAAATTTTATGACACACCTTTTCTTTTAGTTTTAGCTTTAACTCAACAAAAAGTACATGCATGCTATACGACATTCAATATTTCCTATTTTTCATGAAATTGTTTTCGTAGTTATTAAAGATATCACCCCCCCCCCCCCCCCACCACCAAAATGAAATGAAACAAATTTGCATATATATATATATATATATATATATATATATATATATATATATATATATATATATATATATATATATATATATATATATATATATATATATATATATATAACGCCATTTAAAAATTAATCAAAAGGTAATTATCTACGAGTTTTCAAAATTATTCATAGCTATTTAAAGTAATAAAAAAAAATACAAAAAGCAGAGGGAAATCCCCATGTTAACTTTAAAAGTGCAAATACAAACTATAAATGAGCAGTGTTGAATACAAATATATATTGGGGGTTATCATGAATTAGCACACCATATAACATAAAACTAAAAGAAAGATAATTTGCACAAAGAAACACTTTCTGCCAAACGTTTTTCATACTGCGTTGTACACTACCTATAGCAATAACTACATGTTGCCACACGAGAAATACATTCATCGTTTCTCATTTTAAATCATGAAATTGAGGAGAAAAAGGACAATTTTTTTTAAATTTCTAGAAGCAAAAGTTTGAAGTGCATAGTTGTTAAATGTAATTCAAAGCTTTGTATGTATCTGTAAATCTTTGGCATGAATGTTATTTTTTGATTATCAAGAACAGATTAATATACAGAGCATGACGTGATGTTGTACGTCTGTTCAATTCACAAGTACAGTAAATTTTATCTGTAATATGCCCTTGGATTCATTCCCCTTTTGTTTTGAGGGATGCCAACCATCCCTGGGAATAAATACTGTTTAAAAGGTAAATTTGTTCCTCCTTTTATCATGGCTCTTAGAATCTATTTTAATCTTTTCCTCCAAAAACTTCTATTCGGGTATTTTCTCCAAAAATATTTTTTCTTGAACTATTTGTAGCGTCAAGCTCTCCTCTCCGATCACTTGTCAAGAAGAACTGCTAAAAAGGAATGCACGAGTTATGCAGTGTGATATATATATATATATATATATATATATATATATATATATATATATATATATATATATATATATATATATATATATATATATATATATATATATATATATATATATATAAAATCATTTATTAGAATGGGAATGGGTATAATGAGTAAAGTGTAGCAACTTACATCTTTGAACAGAACTTCAGTGATAATTTTTATATAATAGCATTATACAATTAAAAGTTTAAGAAATGATAGCTACTCAGAGTATTGATTGATTGGTTGTATGTTGTTCGAGAGTTCTTCACTTATATAGAGACGTCAACATATACCGGTGAATGGCTTTAAATTTGGACCTTTACTCGGCACACAAGGCCATTTCGCAGTAAGGGTTCTTTATCGTGCCAACGCCTACCGTGACACGGGGTCTTGTTTTTAAGGTCTCATCCGAAGGACCCGCAACTTTCACTTTTGCGAAGGAACAGTTGCTACCTATTTTTTTATCGACTTAGGGCAGTCGCGGCCGTGATTCGAACACACGACATTCCAATCACGGAGCAAGCGCTCTACCGACAGTGCTACCGTGACGGTAGCTGCTCAGAGTAAATCAATAATTACAATTTTAACATAATATTGTGATTCGAACACACGACATTCCGAATACACAGTGCTACCATGACGGTAACTGCTCAGAGTAAATCAATAATTACAATTTTAACATTTACAACTCCAGTTATGTAATAATAAATAATTTTCACGCAGGTGGAACCCCACAAATTATACCTCTTTGTGATTGGTTCTTCTAAATCTTGCTGATGGCATTCTTGTTCTTTCTGTCATGGTTACAAAGGCTATAAAATATGCACATGGTTTTAAAAGTCTAAAATAAATCAATCTACAGCGAAACACTCATTAACTGACCACTTGAAGACGTTTTATTGTTTTCTTAGAAATTAATTTCATATAGTTGGAATTCCACAGTTTGCTTAAAACAGAGACATAAATAACAATAAGTCTCCTCTGAAAAATGTTGGTGATCTGTTCGAGTGACACACCACCAGAATTAAAACGAAACAAAAAAGAATATCCTATGAAAATATATCAAATCTTTGTGTAATACACGGCTTTATGATTATTATTTACAAAATATTGAATCAAAATTCTTTGTATTTTTTCTCATGCCAAAATTGAATTTGACATATTTCCAGTCAAATCTAAATAGTACACTAAAGGACATAATTAACTTTTATATTAACTATAAAATTAAAGAAAATATATCTTTTAGAATTTTAAGAAATTGAGCCATAAATTAAATGTAATTTAAAAAAATCTAGAAATGTTTTTTCTACCTTACATCATAAATTCAGAGGATTTAAAATGCCAGGAGTTAGTTATCAAATACTCTTTGCTATAAATTCACTGAAAATTATGATATTTCATAGACTTTTATTTAGAATTTTTTCAGAACATTAACTGCAATAATTTCTCCAAAATTACTTTTTCTGATTACAATTAGACATCTTTCTTTCCTGTCTAAAGCATGGCATGATATTATTATTTAAATACTCTTACCTTTCCCGTTAAACCAGAAGAGAAAATAAAATAACGTTTATCGCGTAAATGATCGAGACAAATTGAACGGACCTTGTTAAATATGATCAGTGTTACATAAAAAGAGACATTTAAATTAACATGTGTTTTGCAGTGCCTTTATTTAATTCATCTATATTCAGAAATAAAAGTAAATTAAATAAGTTTCTTATATGATGCTTATAATGTTAATGATGTAACAATATTATAAAAATATAAATCATACTATGTCTTACCAATACATAAACCCATATTGTAAATTGTATTCCTTTAGGATGGAAAAGGCGAAGATACCGAACAATGATCAATCTTAAAAATCTATAAACAAAACAAAT